CTTAGCCGAGTAGAGCTCCTCCAACTTGGCAGTGAAATCCTCGAAGCTGTTGGAATGGGCCCACAGGTTCTTCCGCTCTTCCTCCGAGAGTTCACTGAGTTCATTGTTACGCTTTTGACTGGCTGCATCATTGCCTCGTGCGGCGCTAGCTGCGCCGTCATCTGCACCAGGTTGGGCTGCTCCACCGCCGCCACCATCACGTTGACCATCACCAGGAGGCGCAACACCCATGCCAGCATCAGGTTCGCCCTCCTTGGGCAGGACGCGGATGTGCTCCTGCAGCTTCTTCCAGAGATCGCTGTTGAGGAAAGCCTCAGCCTCTGGATTCTCAGCCTTGAAGGTGTCGACGTCAAGGAGCAACACTGAGCCTGGTTCTGCTTTTCCTTGCTCGCCTCCTTCTCCACGTTCACCCTTCTGTGATACCAGCTGGGCAGTCCTGTCGAACTCCGTCTGCAAGACCACCAGCTGCTCCTTCTTTGCCACCAACGACTGCTCGCGCTCCTCGATGGATACACGCAACTTCTCGTACTGCTCACGCTTGTCAACCAGATCCTTCGACATCTGCTCGATCGCCGCCTTCGCCTTGCTGAGCTCCTGGGCTGCACGCCTATGAGCTGTCTGAGGCGGCCGCATCTGCTTCTGCTGGTCGCGCAAGCTGGACAACTTCTTCTCCATGCTCTCCCGTATGTCTTTGAACTCATCATCCTTGGCCATAGACTTGATGGAGGCCTCCAGCTCTTGGACCTGAACCGCAACTTTAGCTCGTCGCCCTTCATCAGTGTCTGGAGCTGCCTCCGCCGTCTCAGCCGCCTTATGCTGTGCCTCACGTTGCCACGGTGGAACTTGAGGTACGGTACTCGTGGTACTCGTACTGGTACTCTTTGCCAGCGATGCCACGAGGGAGTCAAGCTTCTTTTCCAGCGCGCCGAGCTTGTCTCCTTTGCCACCGCCTTTCTGTGGCTTGTCGCCACCTTTCCCTTTACCACGGGCTTTGCCACCACCGCTCTCGAGCTGCTGCAACACGACTTTGTGGGCAGTGACTGCACGTGCACGAATGTGGGCTGGTGCCGAGCGCCCGCACTCGCACTTGATCCTCGACGCCCAGTTGTGCAGACGCGTGCACGAGCCACACGCCCACTCTGGCTTGCGTGGGCCGAGCAGAACATCCCACTCCTTGTCATCAAGAGCGGGGGCCATCCGCTGACCACACTCAGACGAAAGAAATAGCTCCTGCAGGTGCTCACTGCTGAAAGCTTGGCCGAGGCAGCCAGGCCTTGGGAAGGGGCTGCCCTTCCACCTCGGCCTCGAGCCTCTGGAGTCGGGACGGGAGGTAAGCTCCGTCTTGAGCCAAAATGGCTACGGGGGAGGAGCAGGAGGAGGAGGAGGAGGAGGAGCAGGAGGAGGAGGAGGAGGAGGAGGAGGACACGCGGGCGAAACCCGCCAGCGCCTCTCGGAGGGTGGCGGCGCCTCCCGCGGGAGGACCCCCCCCCCGGCCAGGCTCGCGCGGAGCTGCCGGGCTCTCTGGGCGGGCGGGGCGCCGCGGGCAGCTCGGCGCCCCGCCGACGTGTCCGGGCGCTGGCGACCAGCCTCGAACAGATCCCTATCCCGAAGATCGACATGCCAAAAAGCGATGACAATCTTAGGGATGCGCCCTCAAAACATAAGGGAATCCCTAAGATTGGCCTCGTGATGAGGAGATGCCCGGCACAGGGATAGGGATAGGGACATGTGCCAGGCGGGTAAGCTGGCGACCGCCTCCTCTGGCAGGGGATCCGTCGGCCCCTCTCCCAGGCTGCGGGAGGTCTTCGAAGGGACCCGACGTTTGAGGCCCAACCCTGGGACATACGAGGGGGGGCGTCCATCCTCGATCGGGACGCGTCTGGTCAGCCCCCCCGGGGATGCATCCCAGGGCTCCCCTCCTTCTCTTCGCCGCTCTACTCTTCGCCGAAGAGTCGGGGGTTGCGATGGAAACGTCGCCTGCGATCCTCTTCGTCTTCGCCCACCAGCTGGACCCCGTCCAGGGCCAACTGGCGGAGGTGGCGCGGGGTGGCCCTGCCGTGGCGCCCTCTGGTGCGCCGCTGCCTCTTGACGGCCTCGGCAGCTGCATGGACCACGCCGTCGCGGCCTGCGGCTGCGGCAGAGACGGCGGCGCATCCTGGCGGTGCGCATCGCGGTGCCACTTCCATGCAGAGACGCGGACAACCGGCGCGCTGTGCAGCCATGTCGAGGACGGTCTCCTCGTGGCTAGCGCTTGCTTCTTGGCCGCAGCCGCTGCAAGGGCCAGGGTGTTGGTAGCGTGTCCCCCAGGTGCCGCAAGTGTCACTACTCCAGGTCCACTGGTCCGAGGCCTTTGGCGGCGCGCACAAGGGGGTAGGGGGAGGGGGGAGGACTTCTGCGAAGGCGCCAGCCTTACACCTATAGACAAGGCCCGCGCCTCCGAAGGGGCAGGTGTGTTTCTAAGAAGCAATCCGTCGTACCTTTCCCTGCGCGTGGCCGAGGCCTGGCAGGAGTCAGCCGGGGCGGCCCTGTGGTAGCCGGCCTCGCTGTGAGTGCGCTGCCGCACGTCCTCGAGCTCGAAGTCCCTGCCGCAGGCCTCGGCGGCCTTATCACGCCCCCGCCGCCAGGGACACCTGAAGATGCGGCGCGCCTGGCTGCAATGGCGCTCGCCGCACGCCAGGCCCTGCGCGCGGGCCGTTGCGGGCGCGGCAGGGCTTTATCATAGGAGAGGGCACGCGAGAGGACACGAGACCGTTCCGAGGGCTCCCGAGAGCCACATTGCCATAGGAATGTGGAATGCATGGGTCTCGAAACACAGGACACAAAGGACACCCTTGATTTGGCAGATTCGACCTAGACTGTAATGCAAACAACGGCGCCGAGGAGTGCCGTGTCCTGCCTGGCCCAAAAGCTCGCGCGCGGTGGGGCAACGGTCGAAGTCTCTCGCCTGCCGGGCGCTCGTGCGCGGGCCTCCGCAGGAGCCGCCTCTCGACTTGACGTGTCCTCGCGCCAGAGGGACGCTGGTCGAGCGTCCTGCTCCTCCTCTTCGTGCCCTCGGGCTCTTCTTCCTCATTCCCCTCCTCCTCATCCTCCACGCCACCTCTCGCCTCCAATGTCTCCTCCTCCTCCTCCTCCTCCTCCTCCTCCATCCCCCTTCCCCTTCATCACCCTGCCTCTCGTGCGACCGAGCAACCCCGGTCATTATCACGCCTGGCCAGCCTCCACGTGCAGCTCAGACCAGCAGCCCCGAGCCGCCCGCCGTGTCGGGGGCCTCAGCTCCCACGTCTGCAAATGTGTGATGTTCCTTGCCATCTGCTGCAACTGTCTCCCCTCCAATCCATTAGGGGGCCAAATGCGAACCCTACACCTACCCCCCACGATTTCTGAGGGGGAGGGTGGGGTTCACTTCGCTCGGGAGCTCCCGAACGAAGTGAACCCAACCCTCCCCCCTCAGAAATCGTGGGGGGTAGGGGTAGGGTTCGCATGTCTCCCCTCAAATCCATGCCCAAGCGGTTCGCGCCATCGTGCAGCCTGTACTTGGAAGCTGCTGTGCCCGAGCCAGTACGAAGCGCCGCCCTCGCAGCCTGGGCGCCCTCCAACCCCGCACTCCAATGGAGCACTTCAATGGCATGGCCCGCATGACCGTAGCTCCCATGTAACCAACGAAATCTCCTTGACCCGCTCCTCACACAACCCGTCGGCGTCGCGGTGTCGCCAACGCGCGGGGCTGCCACAGCCCGTGGGCGCGTCATCTCCGCCGCGGCCTCGGTCCTGCGAGTCGCATCATGAATCAAGTTCCGTCATCCTGCAACCCCTGGCATTCATCAGCAGAATGGCAAGCTTAGTACTGGCCTTCCTCAGCATAGCCCGTGGAGCCGCATGCGGCAACGCGCTGTGGACAGCGGGCGCACGCGCCACGGCCACCCCGCCGCCGCCGCCCCGAGCCCTGCTCTCGCGGCCCGTTGCAAATCGCGGCGCCGCGGCAGCGAGCATTTTGGCCACATCCTCTGAGACCCTGCACCGGGCCCACCTGACCACCAATGTTTATCAGAAGTACCGTGTGCAGCATGTCGCGTTCGGATATCCCACTGTTGCCGCTGCGCATGCTTACGGGGCGATCCCGAAGCTGCTCGGCCCTGTCGGCCCGCGGCCCTGCACCAAACCACCCTTTCACCCGTCCATCTCCTTCATCGGGGGGCCCTTGGCCAGGGGCGCCGACTCCGGCGCGCCAGCGCTCTCACTTGTGCTACACGCCTGGTCGACGGACTCCCTCGGGCGCCGACCAGGCCCTGGCCCATCGACCAGCTCTTCGGAGGAGGGCGAGAGGGAGGAGGAAGAGGGCGAGAAGGAGGGCGAGAGGGAGGAGGATGGCGAGAGGGATGATGATGATGATGATGATGATGATGATGATGATGATGATGATGATGATGATGACGATGACGACGACGACGACGACGACGACGACGACGACGACAACGATGATGATGATGATGATGATGATGATGATGATGATGATGCTGCTGCTGATGCTGATGCTGATGCTGATGCTGATGATGATGATGATGATGATGATGATGATGAGGAGGAGGAGGAGGAGGAGAAGGAGGAGGAGGAGGAGGAGGACGACGACGAGAAGGAGGAGGAGGAGGAGGAGAAGGAGGGGGAGGAGGAGGAGGGGGAGGGAGGAGGAGAGGAAGAGGAGGGGGAGGAGGAGGAGGAGGAGGAGGAGAAAGGAGGAGGGGGAGGAGGCTTGCTCGGAGCGAGAAACGCAGAAACGCAGGAGGGGAGGAGGAGGAGAGGAGGAGGAGGAGGAGGAGGAGGGAGGAGGAGGAGGAGGAGGAGGAGGAGGAGGAGGCCTCCTTCTGAGGCCGCGGCCGTGGTGCCCCCATGGCGTTGCGGAGAAGAGAGGCCTCCTCCCCCCACGGGCGGTCGGTGGGCCCGGGGGCTCCCGCCGCCGACGGGCAGCGGCGGCGGCGCGGGCGATCGGGCCCACCGTGGCCCGCTCAGCGCTCGCCCGGAAATCCGGGGGGCTTGCCGCCGCCCTCGCGGGGGGCCGAGGGGGAGGTCTTTGCAGCGAGGCCCCCCTCCTTCGGCCTCCCCCCGCTCGCTGCCTCTCCTGCGCTGGGCGGACCTCGAGGCCATGCCATGGTGCTCTCCTTCCCTCGCCGCCTCCTCCTCCCCCCTCCTCTCGCCTCCCGGCCCCGGCCCCCGAGGAGGAGGTCTGTGCAGGGAGGCCCCCCTCCTTCGGCCTCGACCCCACCCCCCCCTGTCGCCTCCGGGCCCCCGCGCCTCCTCCACGTCCTCCTAGCCACCTCCTGTGCCCCCTGCTGGGCCCTTCCGCGGAGACAGGAGCCTGCGCTCCGTGTTCCCAGACCCCCGACACCATGATCTTAGACGAGCGCGCTCCACTGCTCGCAAAGTTACTGCTCGCAGGTGGCATGGATCAGGCGCGGCGGATCTGCTAGCATTTCCATGGAAGCAAAAGCATGTTTCCCGAACGTTTGCGAGTAGGCACTTTGCGTGGTGGACCGCCCTCGGTGAGATCTGCTCATGACGTCGACCCCCGGGGGTCTCGACCCACTCCCTGGGATCGGTTTTCCAGCCCGAGTCGTCCTTGCCGGCCCCGAGGCCCGCTGGAGACCCCTGGACGCCGAGAGTAAAGGCACAAACACCGTCAGCCGTGACTCCTCCGTGGCGCGAGGGGGCCCCGGTCCTCTCTGGAGAGGAGGGGAGGGGAGTCCAGACCGCCGCCCAGCGGCCGCCGACACCCGCGGGGGGGCGCGCGCCCGCGGAGGCCCCGCGGTAATGTTCGACCAGACTGCCGCCAGCGCACAACTCCCCAGACGCTCCAGCGGACGGACACCCTTCGGCGCGGGCGCACGCGGGACCGAACCCAGAACCCCTCGGGTCATGGAACAAATCGCCTCCTCCCCCCCTTCTCGCCCCCCTTCTCCTCCTCCTCCTCCTCCTGCTGCTCCTCTTCCTCGTCCTTCTCCTCCTCCTTCTCCGCCTCCCCCTTCTGCAGATTGAGGCCGACCGAGGCTTCTGGCTCCGAGGACTCATGGTCAAGAGTTGGACTGCAGTACCCTCACCTCCCTCGGGCGAGCTGTGGACATCCGAGGGCATACTCAACGAGGTCAGTGAGGGCATCTGTGGCACAGGCACGTTCTCACAACCTCTTGTGCTCAGCGGAGACGCCAGCCGGGATCCCGGCACCAGGTCTGCCCTTTTCAGGGGAGTCGGTCTCGCTGTCGCGCTTTGCCGATCCTCGCTGAGCCCCGGGTAGATTTGGCTGCTGCTATTAGGGGCCCCCTCGTTGGCCCTGGGCAGGTTGTTGTCCGCGGGGAGCTTCGAGCCCTCCTCCTCCGTCTCTGGCCGTCCAGGTGCTTTGTTTTGTCCGTTTCAGATTGCGAACCCGTGGTCCAAGCCTGGCACGAGCGTAGGTACGAAGGCCCCAGCGGCCCAGGCGCGGACCTCTGGGCCGAGCTTGGGATTGTTTTTGGCTAGGAGGGGACCCGCTCGTGAGGTTCCTGTCGTTTTCGTGCACTCTCACCAGACCCCTGAGAACATTGTTCGAGATCCTAGCAAACGTTGGGCCATCACTGCCAATACCATTGCGGATGCAGTGGCAGGCGTCCCCCGTCTCGAAGCTCTCCTGCCCTGAGCCTGCCGCCACTCCGTTCTCATGCATGAAAAGAGAGCCCGTCATGTGCGCATGAGAATCTTGATAGCTACGCTCGATTCATTCGCCCACAGAAGACCATGGGGGAGTCTAGAGGAGGAAAAAAGCGCACCTCGCCTCCCCCCGCCCCGTCTGCTGCTGCCTCCCTCGCCCTTTTCTCGTCCTCTCACGCCCTCGACGACAGTGGTCGAGGCTGCACGAGATGTGGAGGCTCGGCGTCAAAGAGCACTCTCACCGAGTGGCGCCAATCGCAATGCCTTGCTATGCTTAACTACGACGGCACACTTTTCAAGAAGCATCCACAGGCCAGGCTTCACGTAGCAGGCGGATGGGTGCGTGAGTCCCATACGATGCAGTTTCGTGGTGGCATGTGTTAGTGGTATTGTGTCGGTTACGGCTGTTACGCCAGCCAGCAGCTACGTGAGCTCAAGCCTTGTGGCTCACCGCAGGGTCGTGCATCTCACGAGAATCTCCCAAGTGCCAATGGCCCACGGTTCTAAGCGCAGCGGAGAAGCGTCCCAGAGGCACTCCAGTAGAGCTCCCACGCCCAAGGAGGCCGGCCGCGGTTGCAGACTTGACGTTGTCATGTAGTCATGCTCCTCCCCCTCCTCCTCCTCCTCCTCTTCCTCCCCCTATCGCTATCGCTATCGCTATCGGCTCGATGTCCTGTCGGACGCAGCCGTCCCGAGGGGGGGGCCACCTCCTCCCCCCCTCTCAGAAGAGGTACTCCCTGTGGGAGCCGAACACGATGATCTTGCCCCCCTCGGTGGCCGCCAGCCTCCTCCACCTAAGGAAGGCGGCACGCTCACCACCCGAGGGGGCGACGGCGATGATGAACTCGCCGTTCAGGTGGGCGCCCTCCAGGATGAGGAAGTGGTTGTGCTGGGAGGCGCCGTGGGCGCCAGTGCGGTTGAAGAAGGCCTGCTGGTGCCCGATGCTCTGCTGGTGCCCGTTGGTGTGCTGCTGTTTCCCGCAGGTGCGCTGCTGGTTCCCGTAGGCGTGCTGCTGGTTCCCGTCGGAGCGGGGCGGAGGCTTGGCCCCCAAGTGGGCCGTCCTCCTGGTCTGGGCGGGTCGTCATAGGGCCTACCCCCTCGCCCTGCAGGGGCGCCGAAATTTGCCCCGCCAGATTTTGCCTCCCGCGCGGCTGCCGCCATGTCGTGGTTCTCGGTGTACGTGGTTTCGCCGTCGTACTCGCTGTCCGTGGCGTTGCTCTCTGTGTCGTTCTGGCTCGCTGGGTCGCTGTCGTCGAGTCGGCCGTCGGAGTCCTCCCCGTGATAGTGGTCCTGGGGCCGCTCGAGGTGGCTGCGCAGGTCGAACGAAACCCTGCGTCTCGCTGGCTGCCTCGGGTCGCCGCCTGCTGCTTCTCGCAGGCTGCCTCGCGCCGCCGCTGTACTCGTGGTGGTAGCCGTCGGAGTCCTCCTGGAAGGAGTGGTCCTGGGGCTGGTGGCGGCGTCATCCTTGGTCGCGCGCTGGCCGCGGGCGTCGTCGTGCTCGGACGCGTCGCCCTGGTCGGCCGCGGACCAGTGGGCGCTGGTTACGACACCAGCGAAGATCGCCTCGATGCATGCTGGAATGGGGATGCCGTCGGCGGCCATGGAGACGAAAGCAGCCGCGTTGGGCGCGCAGATGCCTGCCGCCTCTAGTGCCGCACGGGCCGCGGATCGCCACTGCGCACCCGATCTCGCCGCAGCTCCGATGTCCTCAGCTGCCACGGCAATCTTCTCACGCGCCTGGGTGCCGCCAATGCGCTGATTCGTCAGCTGCAACTTCGCCGTGCTGCAGCTGATGGTGTGCTCTCGCAAGGCCCGAAGCAAGTCCTCTTCCACTGCCGTCTCTTCTCGCACAGCGCCGGTAACTGATGGCGTAGTGATGTTGCCGCTCTTGCCCGCTGCCACTGCCGCTGCCGTGCCCCTCGTTTCACATTTGCCCTGTCCCCTGAATCGTAGATGATCACATCGGGCTCTATCTTCGCCTTCCTTCGTCTCGCACGTGTTGGCTGGGTCCTCGGCTAGGTTATTGGTGAGGGGTTCCATCCTCACCGCCTGCTTCTCACAGTGATGTGTTTGCGATGGCGTCTGGGCTCTGTCGTCTAGATGGCCTGTGTCATCGCCCTCCAGCTTCGCTGGCGCTGTTGCTGGCGCCACATCACGCGCACGGGCGGCCGCGCCTGCAGCTAATGACGACTGTACTCCATTCCTAGCGCCAATTCCCGAGGTCGCATCAAGCTTGCCCTGATCCCTGAACCGTAGATGATCGCGTCGGGCTCTATCTTCGCCTTCCTTTCTCTCGCGCATGGCTGAGTCCACTTGGAGTGTTGACTCTTCACCGCTGCTGCCACTGCCGTTGCTTCCTTGAGTCTTGACTCTGGACTGCTGCTGCCACTGCCGTCCCCTGCCATTGTTTCTTGATTCTTGACCGCTGCTGCCACTGCCGTTGCTTCCGCCAGCTGCCTGGGGCGACGCCCGCCCTTTCCCGCAGGGGTCGTCCGCTTCGGCGCTGTAGCTGATGTCTTCTGGCATCCAGCGCTGTCCCCAAAAAGGCTCATGATGCGCTTGTTGCCACCACTGGTGCCACGCTCGCAATTGGCACTGCAGATCGGAGATGAGTTGACGTTGAGACTGCAATTGATGGCTCGCTGCCCGCTGCGTCGCCACCTGGCGCGCTTTCCGCGCGAGGCGGACCTGTTGGGCCCAGGGGTTCTTCTGCTGTTGCTGCTGCTGCTTCACAGGCTCCACGCTCTGCGTGCCGAGCGAGGCACCATGAGCGTCCTGCCAGGGCCGTGCCACATGACGAGGCTCCATCGCGGCGCGGTCGGCAGGACCTGCGAACGCACGCGCGCGCTTGGGGCCAGCCCGCGAAGCCGCCAGCCCTGTGGCCCCGGAGGGCCGCAGGAGGGCGGCGGCGGTTCGGGCCCCCGATGGCCCTTGAGCCAAAATGGCTACGGACTCTTCCTCCCCCTCCTCCTCCTCCTCCTCCATCTCCTCCTCCTCCTCCTCCTCCTCCTCCTCCTCCTCCTCCTCCTCCTCCTCCTCCTCCTCCTCCTCCTCCTCCTCCCGCGGGTGCCCGCAGGACCGCCCCCCAAACCCACGACCCGGAGGCGTCTCTCCCTTTCCGGCCCCGCGGGAGCCCTGCCTGGGCCTCCGGGGGCCCGTCAGACCACGGCCCTGGATCGGGTCGGGCGAAAGGGGGGGATAGCAAAGGGAGGGTTTGAGAATCAGCTCACGTAGCTGATTTTCCCGGCGCCTCCCAGCGCCGGAGGCGGCCATGTATCGAGGAATGGGCCCCTCGGTGAGGCCGAAACCAGCTGCATGCAGCAAATTTCGTAACCCCCCCTTTCCCAATCCCCCCCTTTCGCCCGACCCGACTGGAGGAAACACCCTTCCAATGGGAGCGGGTCCTGGCCATTGCTCGGACCTCCATTCCCTGTGTTTTTTTTCCCGTTTCGTGCGTGGTTTTTCGCCAAATGATCAAGGATGCTCCTCTATGGTCCCCCACCGAGGGAAAAATGCACACGTCCGAGCGATGCCAAGGGTCCGTGTCGTGGACGAGTCACGACGTTGCGGGCCTGGGAACGCGGCCCCCGCACCGAGGCCCTGCATCGAGGGAGGACACCGGGACTCCACAGCGGGCACTCCGCCCCTATAGCTGGCCTGCCGGGCCCGGCAAAGGTGCCGGGGGGGTAGCAGAACGAGGGAGTCCGCGAATCAGCTCATGCACGAAGGGGCCCCTGGGACACACAAAGGAACAGACACAAATGACAGGATTATTTCCCCATATTTTTCAAGGGTTTTTGTCTTCCCCCCACTTCCCATATATTCCAACATTTTCTGGGGAATCGACGGTTATTTTGTGCCTGTGTGTTTTTTCCCTCCTGGATGTAGTTGCTGCAGCTCTGGCTTCTCTGGCACTGCCCGGCGCCGCCGAGGCGCCGCCGAGGCGCCCCGCGGCGGGGGCAAAGAAGAGAGACCAGCCGCACACAGCAGATGTCGTGTGCCTTCCCTTCCCCCGGTGATCCCCTCCACTTCGTCCGATCACACCCTCCCCCTCGTCCTCCTCTCGGCCCGGGCGAAAGGGGGCGATAGCAAAGGGGGGGGCTTGAGAATCAGCTCACGCGCAGCTGATTTCTCCGGCGCCTCCCGGCGCCGGGAGGCGCCCATGTATCGAGGAATGGGCCCCTCGGTGGGGCCGAAACCAGCTGCATGCAGCAGATTTCGTAACCCCCCTTTCCCAATTCCCCCCTTTCACCCGGCCCGATCCTCTCTTACCTTCCTCTCACTCTGATTCGTGGTTTCCCCATCTCGTCGCATCTGGGCTTCCTCCAACCCATGCGTCTGCTTCTTCCTCCACTCCCCAGAGGCCTCCCAAATAGGGTCGGAGCAGACGGGGTCGGAGGATCGTACCGCATCGTCGATGCATCACAGATGCATCCGCGATGCAACGGCGACGTCGGCGATGCATCGGCGACGCCAGTGGAAAAAATCGGACTCCACATCGAGCTGCATCGCCGATGCATCGGCGATGCGGCGCAATCCTCCGACCCCACCTGCTGGGACCCCATCTGAGGCCCACCGACTCTCCCCTCTCTGAGCATCCTTGAACCGATCCCTAGCTCCACTGGGGCTGGCCTAGGCCCCACTGGCCTATTCACCCTGGATTTGGACATAGGCTATTCCCGTCGGGTCTCGAGGGGCCAAATTCTCTCCAGCTGCGGGGTGGGATGGTGGGGCTGAGATGCCATGGCCTGGTGGCGATGGGAATATATTTGGGGGGATGGCCATCGCTCGGACGTCCATTCCCTGTGTTTTGTTCGGTTTCGTGCTTGGTTTTTTCGCCAAATGATCAAGGATGCTCCTCGATGGTCCTCGCCGAAGGAAAAATGCACACGTCCGAGCGATGCCAAGGAACGGTATGACATAAACTGTTCCGCCGTCGGGGACGCCTGCCCGCCAGGCAGCTGGAAAATCTGTGCCCCTGCGTGGCACCGAGAGGGCAGAAACTCTGCAACCGCCCGGGGGGCGGGCATCCCCGACGGCGGGGAAGTTTACAGTCGGGGCTTTGACCAAAGGAACCCTAAATAAGGAACGAGGCCCCTATTTTCCATAAGTTAAACTTCGATGACATATCGTTCACCTATAGCAAACCTGAGGCAAGCTGCGAAACAATTAAGGAACACGGAGCCACTCCCCAATGAAAAGGGTTCCTTCTTCAGCGCCCCGACTGTACTTTGTACCGCTCTTCGGCCCCTCGTATATTCGGGGACACGTAAGACTCAGGTACGGGGGTCTCGGGTTAGCCTGGCGAGGCCGTTACGAGCTCCCGCTGCAACCATCACACGAAAACTGGACCGTCAAAATCCAGGACGGGCGCGTCAGAAAAAGTCGGCAAACCCGAGTTTCAGCGTACTCGAGTCTTACATTTGCCCGATCTATAAGTTATAATAGGGGCCCGACCTCACGAAACCTTCTACACAAAACCCAACCCGGAGAACCCAGGACGTCCATTTCTTTGAGGTGTGGGAACGTCACGCTTTCCGTCGCAAAACCGTCGACACATAAGAAACCCAGGGCACCCTGGAGACGAGCAGCAGGGTGTTTCTTGGCATGCGTCTCCACTGTAAGCGAAACTGATCCTCCGACCAGTGTCGGCCAAGAGGGGGGCATCCAAGATGGGGAGTCGCAAATCATGGCCCAGCGGAGGGCCAGGGAACGCATTGCAATATGGAGAGGGGCCATGAAATCTGGGGAGGATGGCACGGCCCCCGCCATGATATCGACCCCCCCCCATAGTCCTCACCCCCTCTTGGCCGCCCCCGACGGACCCAAAGATTCGATGTCGTGATTTGTGTCAATGCGCGGTCCCCAGAAGTCTCGACCCACTCCCCAGGACCGGTTTTCATCCTGAGTCGCTTCTTGACGGTCCCAAGGCCCCGCGAAAGCCCCTCCAAGGCCGAAATTTGCAAAAACCAAAAACAACTGCCGTCTCGATTTTCTCGGTGCGCTGGATCCCTGGGGAGCCGGACCTTCTCCGTGCCCCCCGCCTTGCAGTAGCCGCCGGGCGGGCCGCCCGCAGGCGGGCCCCCGGGCGGCGGGCCGCCGGGGGGCGCGCCGCGGCCGCCGAAGGGGCCGCCGGCGGGCCCGGTGCCGAACGGGTTCCCCGCGAGGCGCGGGTCGCTCTTGCCGCCGGGCCCGGGGGGGGCGCCGTAGCCGCCCTTGCCGTCGGGCGCGCCCTCGGAGGCCGGGTGGGCGGCCGGAAATTGGAGTATCGCTTGAGCGATCCCCATCCCCAGCCGCGTGGCCTGGGCCCCGCTGGCCGATTTGCCCCCCCCCACCCCCCACCCCCCACCCCCCCACCACCACCACCCAGATGGGAATGTGGGTCGTTCCCTTCGGGTTTCGAGGGGCGTATCCCCAACTGGGGGGGTAATTTGGTGGGGGTCTCGAAGGGGATGGAGATGGGGAGGGGGATCGGATAAACGATACCGAGGAAAATGCCCCCGGGGGGGGGCCATTGATCGGAGTGGCAGGGACGAGCGGTCGCTCAGGTGTCCCTGGGAGCGTGGCCGGAGGGTGGCTCCGTGGCGCGAGAGCCTGCTGCTGCTGCGCTGCGTCGTCTCGTTGGGGTCGTCGTCGTCGTCGCCCCCCCCGCGACCCACCCACGACACACCCGCGGACCCCCCCGCCCGCCCCCTCACTCTCAGCCGCACCTGCGGGGTGCTACGTAGTCAAGGGCTCCTAGCTTCGCGCTTCGCGCTTCGCGCTGCGCGAAGTGCGAATAACTTCGCGCTCTCGCGCCGCCTCCCAGGGGAGAAGAGGAGGAAGAGGAGGAATCGAAGCCGAACCGCGAACCGCGAAGCGCGAATAACTTCGCGCCCTCGAGGGCGCCCTTGCGTAGTCACAGAGCCCTCTCCCTGCTGGGCAGAGCGCCGGGGGCGCCCTGCCGCTCGCCCTCTTGTCCAGCCGCCTGGAGCGAACCGCCCTGCCCAGCTCCACCGGCCACGCCCAGCCGCGGCGGCCCCTCGCTCTCCGACCGCCCCCCCGCCAGGGGACGAGCAAGCATCGGCCTGGGAAAGGGAGGCGCGCGAGCAAGGAGCGCGGGGCTGGGCGAGGGGAGGGCGACGCTTTTCAGGGTGGACGGCTGCGGCTTCCGCGGGCTGGCGGTGCCCATGGGCGGGCCCGGCCCCACGCCACCCGACTCTCCCAGGTTCTGGGAGGCCCCGCGATTGCCCAGATATCCCAGATCCTGGAGACTTCGCCGAAGAGGGGCTCCAGGAGCAGGGGGTTAGCGCATCATGGCCCGAGGCATGTGCGCGGACGAGGTGGGCCAGGGAACGCATTCAAATGATCAGAGACTTGGAAATGCCGTGGCCCTGGCCATGATTTTCACACACAAACGCACAAACACACAAACACACAAACACACAAACACAAACACACAAAAGCACAAGCACAAGCACGAGCACAAACACAAACACAAGCACAAGCACAAGCACACATAAAGACACGCACAGGCCCAGGCCCAGGCCCAGGCCCAGGCCCAGGCACAGGCACACACACTATTTGTGCCGGCGGTCTCGAAGGTGTCACCGCAGCGTGTACTAGGGCGGGCCAGGCCACCCCTAGTTCAACGACAACCTGACTTTGCAGATGGCGGCGGTCAGAACGTAGCAACCTGACGGTGGTCAGGACGTAGCAAACGCATGCAGAAAAATGCAGCCGAAGCGGATGCGCGCGGACAGTGCCGAAGGTAATGCGTGCCCGTGTGGGCGGGGCCGCACTCCCATCGACCGCAGCCATATGCACACACACACACACAAATTTTGTTCGTCGTCGCGGGCTGGGCCTGGCCACCAGCCGTTCGTCGGTCCTGCGCGCGCGCTGGCTAAACAGTGGAATGTTGTCTGGGCCGTTGCGGGGCAGGTGGCGGGGCACCGGGCGCAACGGCCGCGGCGCGGGGGCGCCAGCGGGTCCGCGACACGGGCGGCCCCTGGGGGGGCAGCGAACCGGCAGATGCACACATACACACACAGACATATACACACGGACGTTTTGCATCGGCGGCTAGGCACAGTGACTGCGCTGGCGAGTGGAGCAAAGCGGGGCAAGGTTGAGCGAATTGCACACACACGCACACACACACACTAGGCACAGTGACTGCGCTGGCGAGTGGAGCAAAGCGGGGCAAGGTTGAGCGAATTGCACACACACGCACACACACACACACACACACACACACACACACACACACACACACACACACACACACACACACACACACACACACACACACACACACACACGCACATGCACCCTTCCCTCTTGGGCGCCCTCCGAGCACTCCCTGCGAGAACAGCCAGGCTGGGGAGGGGCCCAGCTGGTGCCATGCTGGGCCGTCCCCGCGGCGCTCCACCGACGCTCGCGGGGGACGGGCGGCGCCGCGAGGCGCGAGGCACCCTGCGGCTGGGCCCACAGCAGGTGAAGGGCGAGGGCACGCAAGCTTGCGCACCACGTCTCGAGACAACTGTCCTCACGGCGAAAACTTGGGGTTGTCCGGTGGTCGGGGGTTGCTGGAACTGCCCCTGGCCCAGGGCGCCCCCAGGGCCTCCACGGAGGTGCCCCCGCCCCTGGTCCAGGGTGCCCCAAGTTGCGCAGGGCCCAGGGTGCTCTGGCGGCCCCCACGGCCTCCAGAGCACCCTTCACGAGGCCCAGAGGGCCTCATGGGGCTCCCAAGATTAGCGGAAGGCTGGCACCTCGGCCCAGGGGCACCATCAGCAACCCCCGAGGTGGAGGGGCGAGAGGGGGGGGGATGTGCCGGCCGATAGCCTAATCTTCTCGCTGTGGGCAGCTCCACGTATGCTCGCGCGCACCATGCCTGCGCATCTCCCATCGGACCTGCGAGCCAACAAGGCCAGGTTATCCGGGGGGGGGCGAGGGGGGTCGGGCGGTCCCGATAAAGCGGGATGTCGGCCGAAGCAAAAAAGCAGTATCCTTCCTCCTCCCCCTCCCCGTCCGACAAGGGTGGACACCAGTGGGGCGGTTAGCAAATCAGCTCGCGCCGCTGGTTTCTGGCCGGCGCCTCCTGGGGCCCCGGATCATCTAGGAACTGCGCACCAGCGGCGGGGCCGAAACCAACTGCATCAGCAGACTTCGCCCCCCCCCTCCCCGTTTCCTTCCCCCCCCCTCCCACCTCGTCCGACCCGATCATCCCCCTCCTCTTGTTTTTCTCTTCTCCCTCCTCTCCCCTTCCCTTCTCCTCCCCTTCTCTTCTGCTCTCCTCCGTTCCCTTCTCCTCCCCTTCCCCTCCCTTTCTCCTCCCCTTCTGTTCCCTTTCCCCTTCCTTCCCCTTCTCTTCCATTCTTCCTCCCCCTCCCGTATACCCCCCCTCCACCCGCGGCCCGCGATGGTCAGCCCTCGGCGATGCCCCCCCCCGGGCCTTCGCCACCTCGCCCAGAGGCCCGCTTGGCGCCCCGTACCCGCCAGGCCCGCCGATGCTGGAGGAAGAGAAAACCACATCAAGACAGACTCTGAGAGGCCCGCGCGGGCTTCTCGGATCCGCGCTGGACCCCGCCCGGGGCGGCGCTGGAGGCGCCGCCGGGGGCTCCAGCGCCGATCCGAGGAATCCGCGCGGAGCTCCGACGGGTCCCTCGCCATCGCTCGGACGTCCATTCCCTGTGCTTTTTTCGGCTTCGTGCGTGGCTTTTTCGCCAAATGATCAAGGATGCTACTCGATTGTCCTCGCCGAGTGAAAAAATGCACACGTCCGAGCGATGCCAAAGTCATGCCTATGCCATTGTCTCCTCCTCGAGATGTTGAGCCGGCCCGCGGCGTAGCCGCCGCCCTGCGGCACGGCGACGGCGCCTGGCGGCAGCCCGCCGCAAGGCCCTCCGCCGCCGAAGCAGCCGTAGCCCCCGGAGCCGCCCTGCGGCGGGGCGGAGGTCGGGTGTTGCTAGAAGTGCCCCTGGGCCAAGGTGCCCCCAGGATTCCCAGGAAGGCCCCCACGGCCTCCCGAGCACCCCTCACGAGGCCCAGAGGGCCCCAGGGGCTTCAAAACTGATCGAAAAGCTGGGGGCACCTTGGTTGGGCCAGGGACACCTTTAGCAACCCCCGAGGAGGGGGGGGCGGGCGGCCGGCGAGCGGAGCGGCCGGGGAGCCGCCCAGGAGGGGCCGCTGCGGGGATCGGCCGAGACCTCTGGGGGCCGACGATGTGGGAACATCACCGTTGCAAACATACATGCGGAATCCCGTGCGCTAGATCTGATGGCCGAGAACGCACATCGCAAGTACCCCCTGCGAGCACGAAGCAATTGATCCCCCCCTCCCCCGATGCCGAGACTCAGCGAATTCTGACGGGCACGTGCTCTGAGAGTAATTGCCAGCACTTCCGATCGCGTGGGTCGTGTGTCCGACTGGGCCCACCGCAAGGGACACGTCCGGGAAACCAGTATAGACAGCTCACGGGGTGGGGCCGGACAGTAGGGCCTGGATCCGCCTCCTCCTCCTCTTCCGTCTCCTCCTCCTCCTCCTCATCCTCCTCCTCTTCCGTCTCCTCCTCCTCCTCCACAATTACTCAATATGAAAACTACTCTCCCTCTTCCCCTGATGACAATTTGAAAATATTAGCCCCCCCCCCCCCGCGTACTGTTTTTTACACACCGGATTCCCCGGAGTTGGGTTTTCGCCTGCATTGTTGTCCAAAATGCTGCTCTCGCTGAGGCGCCGGCCTCATTTTCGGGCCCCGCTCGTTCCGAATCGTGCTCCCGCTGCAGCGCTGGCCTCATTTCCGTGCTTCCGCTCGTTCCGAATCGTGCTCCCGCTGCAGCGCTGGCCTCATTTCCGCGCTTCCGCTCGTTCCGACTCGTGCCCCCGCTGCAGCGCTGGCGTCGTTTCCCGTGCCATGCCACGGCATGCAATGCAATGCTAGGTTGATACTACGCTTTGCGGTGCTCTTCTACGCCATGCCATGCCGTGCTCTACAATGCATCGCGTACCATTTCGGGATCATTGCCCTGCTCGACATCCGACTGTGCGAGTAGAGAGGGGATCTACGCCATGGTAAGGGATGGGAGGGAGGGGTAGGATGTCAGATATAACGCGAGCGCACCTAGCTTGTCCTCCCTCCTCCTCCTCCTCCTCCTCCTCCTCCTCCTCCCTCCTCCCTCCTCTTTCCTCCTCCTCCTCCTCCTCCTCCTCCTCCCTCCTCCCTCCTCCTCCTCCTCCTCCTCCTCCTCCTCGGACAGTCCCCAGGCTCCCACCGGACAGCCACTGGGCAGTCTGGGGGGTGCCGCCGGGGAGTCGGGCCGGACGGCCCAGGCGCGCCGCGGGAGGGCCCGCTGGAGGGTCCGCTTCTGCCTGCCCATCTGGTGTGTCAACACATGTGAAGGGGCCCTGGGACACACACACACACACACACACAAATAAATACACACAAATAAGACGATTCCCCATATTTTCCCATATTTCCAAGGTTTCTGTCTTCCCTCCCACTGCCCATATTTTCATATATTTTCTGGGGAGGCGACGATTAACTGTGTCTGTGTTTTTTTCGCTCTCCTGGCATCTGGTGTGTCAACACATGGAAGTGCCAAAACGAAGATGAACTGTCCAGCGGCCGGCCAGGCAGTCCAAGGAGGTGTCCAAAATGAGCTGTCCAGCGAAGTGTCCAAGGAACTGTCCGATGAGCTGCCCAGGGAAGTGCCCAGAGAAGCATCCAGAAAACTGTCCCGTGGGCTGGGGACGACTGTGCAGACCCGCCTGATGAACTGCCCAATGCCCTTCGGGACCCAACCCGAATCGGCTTACGATGGCGGGCCGGAAACTACTGGTGGGCCTCCCCCGACCGTGCTCTCTGAATGTTCCTACTCATCCTCCTCCGCTGGTTCTTCCGAGCGGATATGCCAAGTTTATTCGAAGCGGGGATCCCCATTTGCGCATTCGCTGGTATGGCACTTCCTCTTCGAGTGTCTGAGCGTGAGCGAGTCTGAGCCTGAGCACGACTGAATGAGAGTGCGTCTGAGTGTGAACACTCTTCATTGCTGCTCTGCCGCCACATGCTGGTCTATTCCGCTCATTGCTGTCCGGTGCTGCTCTGCGCTGCTGCCCGATGTTGTCCGACCTGCTCTCTGCAACTCTCTGTTCCTGCCTGGCCCCCTCAGAGTCATACCATCTTCCTCCTCTGCTGCCTCTCCATCCTGCTCCGAGTCGAGCTGCCACGAGGTGACCATGGGGCTCGGATAAGAGAATCTGAAGGGGCCCTGGGACGCACAAATAAATACACAAATAACAGGATGTACCATATCTTCCCATATGTTCGGGGTCTTGGTCTTCCCCCCCAATTCCCATGTTCTCCCATATTTTCTGGGGAGTCGACGATTCATTCTGTCTGTGTGTTTTTTCCCTCCTGAGGATCGCGCCCTGGGTCAGGGAGGTGGCTGCTGCCCGAGGCATCCCCGAACTCGTGGCGCGAACGGGCCCGCCGAACACCCCTGGTCGACCCGCCCCGACTCTGGGATGAGGAGGAGGAGGAGGAGGAGGAGGAGGAGGAGGAGGAGGAGGAGGAGGAGGAGGAGGAGGAGGAGGAGAGGGGACAGGAGGAGGAGGAGGAGGAGGAGGAGGAGGAGGAGGAGAGGAGGAGAGGGACAGGAGGAGGAGGAGGAGGAGGAGGAGGAGGATCAGGAGGTGGAGGAGGAGGAAAAGGATGAGGGGGTGCCGTGCCTGCCACATCGCAGCGATCCTGGGGCTAGATGAGAATCATTGACCAACAAAGGACCCTTTGGGTGGGGACCTCAGTTCGGAGGGCCAGGAACTTTAGAGATAGGGGGTCTTGCTGCAGGTGTATCGACCCAAACCGCCCAGAGAATCATCCCTGATGCGAAGGCGGGGACCTCAGTGAGGCTACGTCTTCGTCGTGTCATTACGGTTAGGGGTTCTTTGACCCTCGAGGAGAAGCGAGAAACATGTGCTTGGCCAAAGCGGACGGCTCGCCTGCGAGGTCTCCACAACGCGGGCGCGAGCGGGCCCGTGGAGCAACCCTGACCGACACCCCCGTGGGAAGGCCCAAGTGCGATTGGGCCCTGCAGAACAGGCACGTCCACCGCCCCCAACGGGCGTGCTGCACCACGAATCTCCAGTCTGGGCGCGACCAAGGAGGAGCGAGGGCGAGCGATGAGGAGGAGGAGGAGGAGGATGAGGATGAGGATGAGGATGAGGATGATGAGGAGGAGGAGGAGGAGGGAGGAGGGGAGGAGGAGGAGGAGGAGGGGAGAGGGGAGAGGTGGATGAGGACGAGGAGGAGGAGGAGGAGGAGGAGGAGGAGGAGGAGGAGGAGGAGGAGGAGGAGAGAGCATGGTCGACGCACCCTGGATGCCCCAAAGGCCCAAAGGCCGCGCCTGCTACACCGCAGCGATCCACAGAGGGCTCCGAGGAGCAGAGAGGCGCGCGCCGGGCGCCAAAATGGGACGGCTCGCCTGCGAGGTCCCCGCGATCCGGGCGCGAGCGGGCCCGCGGAAGACCCCCTGATCGACATGCGAAGGGGCCCTCCTCCTCCTGCTCTTCCGTCTTCTCCTCCTCCACCTCCTCCTCCCTCCTCCCTCCTCACTCTCTCCTCCTCCTCTTCCTCCTCTCCTCCTCCCTCCTCCTCCTCCTCCCTCCTCCTCCTCCTCTCCTCCTCCCTCCTCCCACCTCCTCCTCCTCCTCCCCCTCCTCCTCCTCCTCCTCCTCCTCCTCGGACAGTCCCCAGGCTCCCACCGGACAGCCACTGGGCAGTCTGGGGGGTGCCGCCGGGGAATCGGGCCGGACAGCCCGGGCGCGCCGCGGGAGGGTCCGCTGGAGGGTCCGCTTCTGCCTGCCCATCTGGTGTTTCAACACATGTGAAGGGGCCTCAGGACACACAAATCCGCCGGCCCCCTTGTGGGGCCACCAGGCTGTAGGCGCGAGGTTCGCAGTTTCCTGTACCAGTTGTAGCTTGTAGTTTCCAGTGTCACAGGTTTGCTTCTTGCGGTTACTGTAACTAGTTGATTGACCGCGCGAGGGGGGGGGAGGCCCAAACAGGATTTTTAGCACCCCCTGGGCGCGTTGTCTGAATTGCTGGGGGGGCTCGAAATCGACACCCCTCACGCAGATCCGCGGGGTCAGGCAAAAAACACGGGGATTTGCCACATTTCTGAAATTCGGTGCCACCCCTCACGCAGATTGCACCCCTCACGCAGATCCGCGGGGTCAGGGTGGGATTTGCCACATTTCTGAAATTCGGTGCCACCCCTCACGCAGATCCGCGGGGTCAGGGTCCAAAAACACAGGGATTTGTCACATTTCTGAAATTCGGTGCCACCCCTCACGCAGATCCGCGGGGTCAGGGTCCAAAAACACAAGGGATTTGCCACATTTCTGAAATTCGGCGCCACCCCTTACGCAGATCCGCGGGGTCAGGGTCCAAAAACACAGGGGATTTGCCACATTTCTGAAATTCGGTGCCACCCTTCACGCACATCCATCGCAAGGCGTGGTAACCCAAACTGCGAGAACTCCCTCGGCCCTTTAATCGCAAGGTGTGGTAACCAAGCCCGTAAACCATACACGTCTTACCAATCGCCAGGTGTGGTAACCCCTCTTGTGATCAGTTGGTTTTGCTGATTGCGAATCGGCTTCGCATGAAGTTTCGATACTGCTTCACGACAGCGCCAAGGCCTCATGACTTAGCTCTTCCATGGCCCATTCTCCGAGAGAGGGGGCCGGCGGCAGGGGGCGAAGCCCTTACGGATAAATGTACAAAAGTAAAAAAGATTCCCCATATGTTCCTGTATTTTCTGGGTTGTTGTCTTCCCCCCCACTTTCCATATTTTCCTATATTTTCCTGGGGGTCGACGATAAATTGTGTCTGTGTGTGTTTCCCCCTCCTGAAAAAACCCTGATCGACACCCCCGTTGGGAGGCCCCGGAGCGGTTGGGCCTCGGAGACCCAAGCACGTGCGCCGCCCCAAGCGGGCGTCCTGCAGCAGAGATCACACATCCGAGCGCGAACGCCACGAAACCGAGGAGAGAGCGCACGGTCGAGACACCCCTGGAAGACCGAAGCCGTCCTTGCTACATCGCAGTGGTCATGGAGCTCTGAACAGAAACGCGTCCGACGCCCTAAACAGGCGGTTCCTGAGAAGTCTCCGCAATCTGGGCGCAAACGGGCTCGTGGAACACCCTCTAGGAGGCCAGAATGCCATGCCTGCTACATTGTCGGGAAGTCGACATGCTATGTTTGCTATATCGCGGTGCACTGAAACTCTAAAGAGAGACACAGCTTCCGCCCCAAACGAAAGTTTCGCCTGAACAGTATCTGCAAACAGGGACCGAAGGGGACCGTGGAACACCCCTGGTTGATACCCCCTTTGAAGGCCAAAATACCAATCAGGGTACATCGCGGTGAGAAGGAGCGGGTGGTGGGTCTGAGCATGGATGAGTGCGAGTACGAGTGAGTCAGAGTGTGAGTGAATCCACTGCATGAATCCGCCGACCCTGTCGGCGTGTGGAATGGGTTGTTCGTCGTGGTTGCTGTCCTTGTACGGAATGTCTTCTTTCCTGGGTCCGTCGCCGCTCCCCCCCTTTCCCTGGGCCCTCGTCCTCAAGCGCGCCAGCCAAAGCGAAATGAAGCAACCCAGCCAAAGCGAAATTAACAACGTTGTCATTGAGTCGAAGGGAAGCCCTTTCCCTTTGACCCCTTCCCCGCAGGGGGGGGGAAGGGTCCAGGGGGGGGTCCCAGGTCAGAATACCATCCCCCCCTTTGCGGCAACAACAGAAGGGCCCTTAGAAGATGCGCTGGAAGTGGGGGGGGGTCGCCACGACGGATCCGCAAGAGCGCCCCTACACGACCCAAGCCCCACAAGACAGCCCAAGAACGCCTAAAGACGTCTGTAGATGCGCTGGAGAAGGCGGGGGTCGCCACGACGGATCCGCAAGAGCGCCCCTAGACGGCCCAAGCCCCACAAGACAGCCCAAGAACGCCTAAGGACGGCCACAGAGGGCCCCCAGACGTGTCAAACGAGCCCCAAAAGGACATCAAGAAGGCCTGGAGAGGCCATATTCATTGACTTCCGGCCCACTGCTCCCGCTCCTGCTGCACTGCTCCCTCCTCCTGCTCCTGCTCCTCCTCCTCCTGCTCCCCCTCCTCCTGCTCCTCCTCTGCCTCCTCTTCCTCCTCCTGCTCCTCCTCCTCATCCTTCCCCCCCCTCCTCCTCCCTCATCCGCCTCATCCACCCTTCCTCTTCCCCCCCCACTTCTCATCCTCCGCCTTCTACCCCCCCGTTCGTTTTCATCTTCGTCGTCTTCAGGGTCGGCGGCACTTGCCGCAAGGCCTTCGCAATATGATATGCGTGAATAGGCGGGAGTGAGTCTAAGGTTGAGTCGGTGTGTTGATGTGTCTGACTACGAATAAGCCTAGGGTTCAAATCCCACCAGCCCGTTGGGCGAGAGGCGGTCTAAGGGTGATCTCTTTTTCCTTCCAAGGCCCCTCTTCCTTTCGGGGGCGGAACCCGCCCCCTCCCCTCCCTGTTTTTTTTGTTGAAGGGGTCGCGAGGTGTCGGAGGCTCCTTTTTCGGCCAGTGGGAGGGCCAATCTTTGACACCCCTCACGAGGATTGTGGCCCCCGATGGGGGGACGCACATCGAGTAACCCCCTTCTTTTGATCGACCGCCTCCAAGATGGCCCCAAGAGGCCCTCCAGGGCTCCCAAGAGGCTCCCACGAGGGTCCCACGAGCACCCCAAGAGGCCGCAAGAGGGCTCCAAGAAGCGACCGAGAGGCACCCAAGAGGCCCCCAAGCGGCCTCAGAGAGCCCAAGATGACCTCAAAGATGACTCAAGATAGTCCAAGCTGGCTCAAGATGGCTCCCAAGATGCCCCAAGATGCCCCAAGACCGCTCCAAGACGGCTAAATATGACCGCTCCAAAAGGAGCCAAGGCGGCCCTCGCTGTTTGACTATGCGTATCTCTCCCTCCCCCCGTCAACTTTCGTGGGAATCGTTTCTGGGTTTCTGGATAGGCGGTGGGGATACGCGAAGCGTCCAGAATTCTCTGTTTGAGTGAGTCTGACTTCGGACGAGTCTAAGATTACACGTCTGAGTATAGGTAAGAGTGTGAATGAATATGGATGTGCATGTTCTGCGTAACAGCGGGTCTGGGCATATGTGAGTCTGCAATAGGGTCAATCGTCTGAGCGTGAATGAGCCTAAGCATGGGAGGGATAAGCTTTAGTGATCTGAGCGTGCGTGGATCTGCATTCGTCTTACGCTGCGCGCAACTGAGCATGAGAGGGGGTAGGAGACGGGGCTGGATGGAATGAGGCGGCACGGTCCCACTAAAAGCACAAATTAGGAAAACCAGGAAGTACCGATACCGCTAACTACTCCCCAGGCCTTTCCCAGGGTGCGTTCTAACAAGCACTTCGCGAATCCAGCGGCGGCGACGCGGGCCTCCAGGAGGCCCCAGAGGGCAAAAACGAGGGAAGGGTGGGGGTAAGGTACAGGCACCTCTTCCTCCACCGACGCATGCCCGAATCTTTGGCCAGATGGGGGATGACCTTCCCCGGCTGCTCGCCGGCCCCCCCCCCCCTTCTGCACAGACGAAATGGGCACGGAAAGAATGGGTACAATGCCCAACAGCGGATCTTCTGCATTTTGAACAGGACTCGCTGTCCACGCCGCCGCGGCCTGTGTCCATTTGAGACAGAAAGCCGCCTGCCCAACAGTGGCCGCTGTTGGTTTGGGACAACTTTTGTTGTTGGCCATTGTACCCATTCTTGCCGTGTCCATTTCGGCGCGCGCCGCGGGCGCGCCGTGGGGCTCGGAGGGCAGCTCGGGGGCTCGATCATGCTTTTATGCATATATATATATAAATAGGTTAAGAACTGCTATGAATCTTTCCTGGGCTGTCTTGGGCTGTTCACGTAAGCAACCGCGTCACCGTGCAAATATTCATCCAGATGCGCCAGGCGTATGGGACAGTGATGAAAAGCTATGAACGGTTATTAGAAGTTATGAGAAGTTATGGAACAGTATGGGCAGTTATGAAAATTATGGGAAGTTAGGAAACAGCTAACAACTCGTTGCGCGTAAATGTTGGCGAAGTGTTTGCTAAGCCTTTCGCAACCAATTGTATGTTACAACCTACCCCGCGCCATCCAGTAAGGGCCCCCCTCCGGCCTTGCCCTGCATGCCGTAGCCGCCCTTGCCTGGGGCGCCCGGGGGCATGCCGGGGCCGCCGGGCGGCATGCCCGGCATGCCCGGGCCGCCCTTCCCGGGCCACGGCCCCGCGCTGGGCGGCCCCACCTGGCGAGGCCGAGCGGGGGGGGGATGCAGGACGAAAGGAGGCCGGGGACGATGCGGGAGGAGGGCAACGACCCTGACATCTTGTGGCTTTGTGTTTTACAAGACGGCGGTTCTTGCATTGTTTTTGTACAAGACGATTGAAGAAAAACGAGACATTTGCGATGTCTTGATTTTGGGTTTTTAGGCGCGCAAGGCGCTGTCGGGTTGCATCGCGCGTTCCAGAATGACGAGGCGCATGCCGATGTTGCGCGATCATCAGGCGAGTTCGGGGGAGGGCGTGGAGGGAGCGCAGCGGGACAGGGAGAACGAGGAGGAGGACGAGGACGAGGATGCCGAGGGCCGTATGGATCGTTTTCGACGTCTCCCCCCCCCCCCCCCCTCGTAGCGTCCGAGCTACGGGGGGGGGGTATGGGGGGGGAGAGATCGGGCCTGCGAGCGCCACAGCATGCTTGTGAGCACCAAGGCTCGGGGATGGACAGACCTCCCTTTAGTAAAACGTGGTTTAGTGAAAACGACCTGAGGCCCAAATCTGGCGGGCGAAAGCCTGGAAACTGACGGCCACGGCGCCCTCTCGAGAACCGAAAACGGACAATTCACTAATCGACGTGTCACTATTGGGGGTTCTGTCCAGCCCCGAAAGGCATGCCTGTCAGCACTGTCAGCACCGAAGCATGTCTGTGGGCACCGCGCCATGCCTGAGGGGGAACTGGCACCCCCTTAGCCTTGAGTCGGGCCTGTCCCTCTACAGGAAAACTGTCGGGGAAGGTGCTTCAGTTATTATGTTTGGCTGTGTTTGAACATGTTTCGACTACTTTTCTCTTGTCGCCCAAAATCCGCCTGTAGGGGGACACGCGTGACCTAACCTCAGCCCCCCGTACGCGCTCGGCACCATCACGGGGAGGGGGGGGATTGCAGGGGGGGGGGGGGGGCGACTCCCCCCGTTACGGACGTCAGTTCAAGGCCGCGTGGCGGCCACCGCTGGCCGACGGCGCGGCCGCCACCAGCCCTCCCCCCGCGGCGTCGCACGAGGCGCACTGCACGAGCTCCGGCTCGCGTGAGGGGCTGGGCACACTCCCGATCGATTTGTGCATCCCAATTGGCAAAGATCGGGGGGGACTGGCACAGAGGGGGATGCATCGACCTGGAATCGGCGATGCATCGCCGGTTCTTCGGCGACAGGCCTCCGAGAGTGGAGAGCCGCACCTTCCTGGGCAAGTTGGGCCGATCGGGCCCCTATCGGCGATCAATGGTCGACTGGGCGTCGAGGCATCTCCCTCATGCCTAATTGTCCCCCCGCTTTCGGCGGTGGACAATAATAAACAACCCTTTGGTGAAAACGGCCTAGTACCGAAACCGACGGACCTGGACCCGCAAAAATGACGGCCGCGACGCCCTCTCGCGAACCGAAAACGGCCAATCCGCTAATCGACGTGTCAGGGCAGTAGGTCCATCAACCTCCGACCCTCATCGCTGCCCCCGACGCCCGCGACCCGCCATGGCGACGACCCCCCGCCAACGATCGAACAAGAGACGCGCGCGAGGAGGACTGCCGCCCACGGTGGCCCGACCGTCTTTTGAGCAGGGACCGACCGTCCCGGCATTCCTATAGTCATACCAAGACATGTTCTTAGAACCCGAAAATGTTCGAGGAACAGAAACAAGGTTCTTAGAACAGAAACCCGACGTGTCAAAACAAGACAGCGCCAGCCAGAAATGTTCTGAGAACATTTCGTGGGAACCACAAGAGGTTCTTTCGGGAGCGGCCAAGAGGGGGGTGTCCAAGAGGGGGGGGTGCAAATCATGACCGGCGGCATGTGCGCGGCCCAGCGGGATGGCCTGGGACGTAATGAAACAAGAAGAGGCGCCATGAGATCTGGGGAAATATCATGGCCCCCGCCATGATATCCAACCCCCCCTAGTCATCACCCCCCTCTTTTCCGCCCCCGATTGTTTGGTGGGGCTATAGGCGAGCCGGGACGCTTCGCCGCTGCTCGAATCTTCTCGCCGCAGGCCCGGGCCGATCGGGCGCCCGGGCGACCTGCGCCTGCGGGGCCCCCGGCAGGCCTTCGGCGAGGTGCGGAGGCCCCGGCCGCACGGAAAAAAGGCCCTGCGGCGCGACGCCACCAGGCGGTGGCTCAACGATCGGGCCGGGCGAAAAGGGGGGGATAGCAAAAGGGGGGATTGAGAATCAGCTCACGTGTAGCTGATTTTCCTGGCGCATCCCGGCGCCGGAGGCGGCTACGTATCGAGGAATGGGCCCCTCGGTGGGGCCGAAATCAGCTGCGGGCAGCAGATTTCGTAAACCCCCCTTTCGTCCGACCCGAAACGAGGGGGTCCTGAGGGAAGGGGTCCCAGGGACGAGGTGCCGCAAACGATGCAAATTCACCCTTGGACCCCTTCCTATCCTTAGGACTTCACGTGGGCACCAGGAGCGGCAGGGCAGTTTTTTCTCTGTTTCCGGAGAAATGCCTCGTAACAATGGAAGCGGCGAAGAAACAGCGACCAAAAACAACAAGACGGCCCTGGGATTGGACCGCAGCCGGAACCAGGAAAAGAACGGCGACGGACACCTGGCAACAGAACACCAAAACGGAACCAGCAACAAAAGCGGCAGAACGGAACCAGCTTACCAGTATAAAAACGGCCCTGTCGGTTCCAGGGCCACTAAGTCTGAGGACCCCTTCCTCGGGACACACCGTTTGAACACAGAACCAGCGACGCGACGCCACCAAGCGGTGCCTCACACGATGACAATTTACCCTTGGATCCATTACTAGCCTCGGGACCCCCTCCCTCGGAACCCATCGTTTTGGAACACCGAGCCCAGAGTGAGGAGCCGAAATCTCTACACTTAAGCATTGTTCGATGCTTCCCCGAGGAAAACGGGCAACGACATATACACCACACCACCCCGACGTTCTCCTCCTCCTCCTCCTCCTCCTCCTCCTCACACACTTCCTCCGTCTACCCTGTCACGTTGTCCTTTAGCTCCTTCCTGTGATCACACATCCCGTCGCCATCGACGGCCCAAACCTTCAGGGTCGGCGGCACTGGCCGTAAGGCCTTCACACTATACACCACACCACCCCGACGTCGCCCCCGACCCTCAAAATCAGCCCCCGAATTGCAAGCGGCCCACAAGTGGTGATGTAGATGGGCGATTCCGAAAACTCGGGGATGGACAGACCTCCCTTTAGTAAAACGTGGTTTAGTGAAAACGACCTGAAGCCCAAACCTGGCGGGCGCGAGCCTGGAAAATAACGGCCGCGGCGCCCTCTCGAGAACCGAAAAAGGACAATTCACTAATCGACGTGTGACTGTTGGGGGTTCTGTCCACCCCCGAAAAACCCTGAACCCAAAAACGTTTTCATCTGTTGGGGACGCATCTTGCACTTCCGCCGCACTCCGCCGGGCTTCCGCAGGCTTCCGCCGGCGGAGGCGGCCTCGTTTTACTTCCGCCGCCCTCCCGCCGTGGAAGAGAGGACAACTCCTTCGATCCTCGAAGGCTGCCCTTTGCCCTTTTTGGAACGCCCCCGATGTTCTCCTTTCCAGCAGAGCCACGGATCGTCGATCGCTTTTGCCTCCCCGCCCGCCGGCGCGTAGCCGCCCATGGGCTGCGGCCCAGGCTGGTAGGGCCCGCCCTTGGCTTGCTGCTGGGGGAAGGGCTGAGCCCCCTTCCGCGGGGTCGAAAGCCTCTGCAGACAACCCATATCGTAAGGATGTGCGGTAAGGATGCAAGGGCCTTGGAGGTCCAAGGGAACGTTTTTCGAACGAGGTTGGCCAGCGAAAGTCGCCAAGGATGGGCCGAAGGGGCAAGGATGCAAGGGTACCCTTGGGAAGCTTGCCCATCCTTACTATGCGGTTTGACTGTATGCCCGCACCTGCTCCCGCCCATTATCGTCTCCCCATGCGAAGACCAGAACTAACTTTAGGTCGGGCATCGTGTCCTACTACAGGAGGGTTTCGGATAACATATGAAACATATCAAACAAATAAGCACAACTCGTCAAAAAAGCACGGACCATGGTCCCCGGACTTTACACAATCTTCTATTGTCCTCGAGTCGAAGGACATGTCCGACTTGCAACTAACTGAGGCGAGAGTGTTGCGGATGACGGCACAGGCAGGGGGGGAAGGGGCCAGGAGGTAAACACATAAAAATGCGGATGCTGTGTAAGAGGAGCTGGAGCATAGGACCAGGAGGAGCAGACCAGCGAGGGGTGCGGGGAAGGTGTGTGGCGAGGGAAAAGAGGTGGAGGCAGAGAGGAGGACAGGGGGCCCGACGAACGGAGCCTGAATGGTGCCATTAGGATGAGGGGGGAAGACGAAAAAGACTGGAAACAAGGATGCGGCAGAAGGTGAAGAGGAGTACAGTCAACCCGTACAGTAAGGATGCTCGATAAGGATGCAAGGGCCTAGGACGCCCACTTCGAAGCTTTTCGGGCGGGGCGCGGCCAACGAAAGTGGCGCAGGATCGACCGATTAGGCAAGGATGCAAGGGGCACCCTTGGGAAGGCTGCCCATCCTTTCTATGCGGGTTGACTGAAGCTGTTTCTCTACACCGTTCTCCGCCCGATCCTCCTCGGCCTCCTGTTCCGTAGTCTCTTCGTGCTGCTGCAAACAGTCTGCTGGTGATCTTGTCGCCGTTGCTGCCGCTGCTTCTGCTGCTGCTGCTCATCGGAGCCTCGGATTGGACATACTTGCGGAGCTGGTGGGGGGGGGTGGTCTGTGCGAAACCTTCAAAAAAAACCTCAACACCTCCCGAACACATTCGAAACCTGGACGATCTCCTGCACAAAACACCCGATCGAACTCCGAATGCCTGTCGGCGCTTGGAAGGGGCCGATCAGTGTTTTCCCTGCCTCCCTGCCTTCCGCCTCCCTTTCCCTTCTTTGTCCTCCTCCTGCTCCCCCCTCACCCTCCACTCCTCGCTCACAGGGAACGGGGCGGGAAGAAGAGAGAGAGGAGGACAAAGAGAACCAGAAAGGAGGAGAGGAGGAGAAGGAGGGAGGAGGAGAAAGGGGGAAAGAGGACACGGAAGGAGAAAGAGGGGACAGAGGAGGACGAGCGCGAGCAGGGAGAGAGGAGGACCAGGGAAGACGAGCAGGGAGGAGGAGGAGGAGGCCGAGCGGCGTTTCCCCTGCCAGTGTAGAGGGGACCTTGCCCTGCATGCCGCCGTCTGGCGGGCCGCCCCTGGGCCCGCCGCCCGAGACCTGCCGGGGCGGAGGAAGGGCGAGGCGGGGGGGGCCGCGCGAGCGGAGAGGCAGCGGGAGAGGGGGGAGCACGAGGAGGGGCACGAGGAGCACGGGAGGGAGGGAGGAGGAGGGGGAGGACTTGCCGTCGCTCGGACGTCCATTTCCCCTGCATTGTTCGGTTTCGTGCGTGGCTTTTTCGCCACATGATCAAGGATGCTCCTCGATGGTCCTCGCCGAAGGAAACATGCACACGTCCGAGAGATGCCAGGAGGAGGGGGAGCACAGGAGGGGGAGCACGGGAGGACGGGAGGGGGAACACGGGAGGAATCGAGGAGGGGAAGCGCGGGAGGCCGAGGAGGGGGAGCACGAGGAGGGAGACGCAAAGGCCCGGGTCGGCGCCAACCCGGGCCGGTCGGGTCTCGCAGGATCTGGCCCAAGATCCCGGGTCATTCCCTCGTTTTTTTCAACATTTCGCCGTTTCCTTCGTTTTCCTTCGTTTTGGGCGGCTTCCTTGGAGGTCTCTTGGGCGGTGCTTGGGGCCTCTTGGAGGCCTCTTGGCACGGTCTTGGGCGCTCGTGGGGGTCTCGTCGCGGTCGGGGCAATGCCCGGGGCCCGTCTGAGAGCCCTTGTGGGGTGCCTCGGAGCCGTCCTGGGCCGTCCCGAGGCCCTCCTGTCGGGCGTGGCTTCATGGGGGGGTCACAAATAGGGGGGTCAGAAACGGTCCCCTTTCGTGCCCCTTTCGGGCCCCTCCGGAGCCCCAGGGGGCTCGTTTAGGCACCGTTTGGGTACCTTTTCGGACCACCCTTGCCACCCCCCCATTTATGACCCCCCTATTACGCAACGCCCAATCCTGGGGCTCCCTGGGAGGCCCGGGAGGGCGGCACCAACAAGGATTGGCCGCACATGTCCCCGATCTGTGAAATGCCGTCGGGTGGGCGTGTATATGTATACACACACATACAGAGAGAGGGGCGCGCATATATCTAGATAAAAACAAATATACATACACACCTGGACAAACAGGTGTACATATCGATGTATATACCGGCATGCGTCCATACATACAGACGTGCATATATATGTATAGATTCATGCATGCATGCATGCGTGCATGCATACGTACATACATGCATACACATATACACATACACATATACAGGCATATATACCTACACAGATGCATGCATGCATGCATACATGCACACAGACATGCATACATACATCGGAATCAACATCAATCCATACGTACATACATTCATACACACATGCATACGTACATGCATACATGCATGTACGACTGCATCGATACATACATATATACATACAAGCCTACGTGCAGTCATACATGCATGCAGACATACATGCCCGTATACAGTCGCACCTGCCTACCTACATAAACGCATACATGCAGACATGCATGCCGACGTTCATACGTACATGCATGTATGTCTACATGCATAGACACATACCGACATACATGTATGCATGTTTAAATGCATGTATGCATACATGCATGCATGCATCATACATGCATGTAGACACACATACGTACACACTGTCATACATACGTACACACAAACAATACACATATGCATATCTAGGTGCCCAAGGCGGCCCGAAGGGGGGCCAATAGAAGGCAAGCAACGGTTCCTGGGCAAAGACCCAGAAACCGCCCAGAAGCCCCCAAGACGTCCAGAGGGTCCCCCAAAAACTCCGAAGAGGCCACAAAAAAGATGGCCCAACAAGCACCCACACAGACCCCAATAATCCCAAAGAGGCCCCCAACAAAAACACCCTAGGGGCCTCCAAGAGACCCCCAAAGGGCCCCAAGAGGCTCCCAAGAGTCATCCAAGAGGGAGACGCCTCATGAGGCCCCCAGACAGGGTCTTGACCAAGAGCCAAGGCACGAAGACTCAACGCGTGCTGGGATCGATACCCATCGGTCGGAAGAACTAGGTAGAAATATGAAGTAGGGAAGCGTTGAAAATGGATCGGGTTCCGTCCGCCCCCTGAGGAGGACGGAAAAGGTGAAGCCACTCGATCGTTGAAGTAGGAAGGCGCGTAAAGTAGCTTGGAATCTGAAAATCCAAGAGTCCCTACTTTCAACGATCGATGGGTCTGACCCTGGTGGTACGACTTGGCTACGACTTGAGCCATACAGCGTGCATCGAACACGGAAACATCCCCGTGAAACTGCCGAGGGGCATCGCAAGAGACTTCTGGCAGGCATCAAAGGAGACACCTCTGTGCCCCACGACCCTGGCAGGGGGGTGCGCGGCGAGGACTCGGCCCATGGGGGGGGAGGGGGGCGGACGAGGACGAGCACGAGCTGGGAGGAAGAGAGAGGGAGCGGAGCGGGAGAGAGACGGAGGACGACAAGCAGGAGGGGAGGGAGAACGAGAGAGATTGAGGCGCGGATGTGGACGGAGAGAAAGAGAGAGAGAGAGAGAGAGAGAACAAAAAAGAAAGAGAGAGAGAGAGAGAGAAAACAAAACAAGAGAGAGAGAGGGAGCGGAGAGGGAGAGAGACTGAGGACGACAAGCACGACAAGCAGAAGGGGACAAGCGCGGAGGTGGACGAACGCAGCACGAAGAGGAACAGGAAGAGCAACAGGAGCAATCCCCCCGCCCGCGACCTCCTGCAGGAAGGCCGCCCACGTGCGGAGTTCCTCTGCGGTCCCACAACTTTGCTCTACGGGTGCACCCGCCGGTCCCGCTCCCCTCACCTCCTCGCCCTCCTCGCCCACGAGGGGCGAGCGGCGGGAGGGGCAGAGGGAGACCAGAGGGGGGAGAGAAGAGGGGAGGAGGAGGGAGGGGAGAGGGGAGAGGATGGAGGATGGAGGCCGAACGGGGGGAAGAGGGGAAGAGGATGGAGGAGAGGAGAGGGGCCGAACGGGGGGAAGGGGGGACGGGAAGCGAGCCCGCTGCGCCCGCGCCGCAACTGACGTCCTGTTCCTCCTGCGCATCGGACAGGAATGGGAAAAAGGGGGGGCGGCGACGTCAGGGAACCGGATCCGGAGATGTGGCCCGCGCTGGGAGGAGATTGCCGTTTTGAGCGGAGGGAGCAGACCACCGATCCTGCCCTGTGGCCTGCGCTGCCGCTGGAACACTAATCTTCAGAATTACCAATGAATTTAAGGACTTGCCACGTCCACCCACACTGCAAACACGTCAAACGTTGAAATTTTGTCTCGACCAAAAGAAACGCGAGGGAGGCGGGAACCCGGCTGGACATGGCCAGGGGAGAGAAAAGAGTAGCATTCAGGACTCAAACTGGGTAGCTGGGAGGGGCGAGGAAGAGGACGGGTAGGGGAGACGGGATAGGAGGAGGTGAGCTGGGCAAGGAAGAAGAGGGGAGCAGGCTTGCCGATGCGGAGAAATGGGGTAGGTGTGTGTGAGTGTGTGTGCGTGTGTGCGTGCGTGCGTGCGTGCGTGCGTGCGTGCGTGCGTGCCCAGGAGCCCAGAAGGGTGCCGCACAGAGGGCCAACGGCGGAACTTTCGAACGACCTCGACGCCGGAGGACCCCCCCCCTGGACTCTCCTCGCGAAACCTGGAATTTCGGATGCACCCCCTCGAGGCCCCCATGGCTGCCCAGCGGTCACAGGTTCCCCCACGGGGTCGAGGGGGGCGGGGCCCATCTTTCAGGCGCGGGTCGTCGGGAGGAAAGCGCGGCATGGACCCCTGGCCCAGCGCGTAGTCGGAGAAGACAGAGGTCAGCTTGCCCACGAGCTCGTCGTCTTCGGACGACTTCACGAGCCTGGACAGCGAGCTCACGAACTTGGTCATCTTGTCAGGCGTGAACTCGTGGCAGCGCCTGGCCGCCTCCTCGCCCAACTTCATGGCGAAGGCCCGCACGGGGTCCTTCTCGTGGAGCTCCTCACGCAGACGCCGGAGAGAGGTGGCGAGAGGGGGGAAGGGATGGGGGAGGGGGAGGGCGGGGGGGGGGAGAGACAGGGGAGCGCTGGGGGGGGGAGGGCAAAGAAGGGGCCTGGGATGAATTGCAGGACCTGCAAAGAGGTCATGTCGACCCGAAGGCAGAATCAGCAGCACCGCAGGCCGGACGGGCCGCCACCACCACAGGGGGACAAAACGCGCCACCAGCAAATGCAGGCGGCATCCGAAGACGAGAAAACCCGTCATTAGACGACTCCACTACGGGGACTGCCCTCCGGCAGGTTCGTGTCTGGACGACTCCGACGTTGGTTCTTGACACCGCGGGGATCGTTCAACCTCGAACGATCGGCCGTTTCCGAAACGTCGGATCGCTCAACATCGACCGATTCTGAATAGCTGGCGGCGCTCACCCTTGAACGCCAGTGGTACGGAAAAAATTGGCACAATGCCCAACAACAGATGTTGTGCCAAACCAACAGCGGCCGCTGTTGGGCAGGCGTCAGTCTGTCTCGAATGGACACAGGACGCGGCGGCGTGGACAGCGAGTCCTGTTCAGAATGAGCAAGAACTGCTGTTGGGCATTCTAACCATTCTTTCCGTACCCATTCCACGCGAGCCTCCTCTACGGGGACTCCCCTAGTCACCACGGCCGGCTGTCCTGACCACGCGTGGGCTTCAAGCCGCCAAAGAACACCGTCCTGCGGGCGGGCCCCACGGAGCGCGCCGGGCGCGTGCGCAAGTCGATTGGCCGTGGCAGCTTTCTCGACGCTGACCCCCCGAGACTCTCGGGCCGGGCGAAAGGGGGGGATAGCAAAAGGGGGGGGTTGAGAATCAGCTCACGCAGCTGATTTTCCCGGCGTCCCCCGGCGCCGGAGGCGCCCATGTATCGAGGAATGGGCTCCTCGGTGGGGCCGCAACCAGCTGCATGCAGCAGACTTCGAACCCCCCCCTTTCCCTATCCCCCCCTTTCGCTCGGCCTCAGACTCGCGCGGAAGTCCTACTGAAGGAACGACGGTGTGCTGTGGCCGCCTCCCGCAAATTCTGCGCCGCGGCCGCGCGAGCTGCGAGCCCCCACGGGCACAGGAGCGGCGGCGCAAGACCCGGCGGGGATCACAGTGCTACTGGGTGCCAGGACTGCCCTCCGTCTCGGCTGTAGTATCTTCTCGGCGCATCTCCAACTTGAAGTCGATCCGCTTGGTGAGGGCGGCCAATCCTTTCTCCACCTCCTCCTCCTCCTCCTCCTCCTCCTCCTCCTCCTCCTCCTCCTGCTCCTCCTTGCAACATTTGCGCGTGGTGACATCGCACTCGGTGTCGTCCACAGCCACGGCCTCCCCATCTGGCGCCGTCGCCGTGCACGGCGATGTGGCCGGGCCTTGAATCTGGCGATGCCGCCTGACCCCGATGCGGGTGATGACTGCCTGACCCCGATGCGGGTGATGACGGCCCCACAGCATTGTGCACCAAAACATGCTTGGCGACACTCCACCGCGGGAGCCTGCTGCGATCATTCAGCAGGGGGAAAACGGCAGGAAGAGGAGGAGGAGGAGGAGGAGGAGGAGGAGGAGGAGGAGGAGGGAGGGGGGAGAAGGGAGGGGTGAGAAGGAAGAAAGGCACCCCGCTTGCGTTCCCACAGGTGCGCCTGCGTCGAGCGATGTCGGCCCTGCCTGCCCAGAAGTGGCCACACAGAGAAAAGACCCGAGGAGGATACTCAAAACCTCCTAGATGGGGTCCGAGTGGATGGTGTCCGAGGAACTCGCCGCATCGCCGACACATCGGCGATGCACTGGCGACGTCGGCGATGCGACGGCGACATCGGCGTGGAGAAAATCAAGCTACATCTCCAGCCGCATCGCCGATGCATCGCCGATGCGGCGCGATCCTCCGACGCCATCTGCTCGGACCCCATCGAGGAGGCCTCGAACACGTCCGTAGGCGGTCGGGGCAGAAAGGGGAACCGCACGTGACATTCGGAGGCGCTGTGCCTCCCCGCTCGACAGCGCCGCTCCTCGGAAGGACCCGTCGTGCGCCTGTGCGCACAGGTCGCCACTGCACCTGGCGTGCACGCGGCGTCCCGAAGGACCTGGCCGGGACCTGGGCAAGGCTTCTGCTACAGTAGGAGCTCGACCACAAGAAGCCTTCCACAAGAAACCCAACCCTGAGACCCCAGGACGCCCATTGATCTTTGCCGCGGGATTGGCACGCTTTCCATAGCAAGGCCATGGAAACCCAAGAAAACGAGGGCACTCTGGAGGCAAGCAGGGTGTTTCTTGGCATGGGTTTCCACGGAACTGCCGCTCGGGCTCGAGCTAAATGGTTGTTACCGAGGGGAAGGGGGAAGGAACGGCCGAGAGGAGAGGAAAGGAGGAGGGGAAGTGAACGAGGAGGGCATTCGCAGGGGGAGCGGGAAGAGCGGCGGGGAAGGGAGGCGAGAGGCTCCTCCATGACGGCGAACGCCCATATGACTCGAGACATCTCGTCGGGGGTGAACTCGCCCGTGCTGTAGCCGCTCAGGCACTCCTGGCTGCCGGAGCTATACCCCTTTCCCCCACGCCCCCGCCGATCCCCTTCTCTTCGCCACATCAATCCCGTGCCCCGCTCCCCCCATCGCGTTCCCCTCTCACCACCATCCACCCAGCCATCATTTGCTACCCTCCGCTGCCCTCTTGCGTCTCTTGCCTCCAATGCCCCTCGTCCCCCATCTCCTGGTCCAGTCCACCGCTTCGCCCATGTAGGACTGGTGCGGGGATATATACGCGGAACATTCGGCATCTCGTCACGCAAGATCCACCCAGCAATCGCACCGCGCTGGCCATACATATACCAAACACATAATGACGTCAGCGAGGCTATCGGGTGTGACGTCAGATGTTGCAAGAAAGTCTCGACATCGCGGTATGTTCAATCCCGCCTCCAGTAAGGCAATGCTACGAACCTTTAATGCGGCTTTGGTATGCCCTGGCTGGGCAACGGTGGATATGGTCTTCCGCTGTAGGTCAGCGAGACGAACGAAATGATATAAATGTTACCGCCGTCGGCGATGCCTGCCCCAGGGCGGCTAGAACACACATTCATATCCTGACGCGCCACCGAAGAAAATACAAGCTCCTGCCGCACTGGGGCAAGCGACACGATGGTGGGACAATTTGTCCGCTGAGTAGTCGCTGGCTGGCGACGGCTTTGTAGGCCAACCCTTCACGTTACTGCGCAAGTGATTTCAAATGCAGAAGAAATGCCTCAGAAGCGTTGGACAGTGTTGTCATGACGTCGGGGTAGGCAAGTAACCTGGCCGAACTAAACGGACACAACCTTGCCGTTTGTAGTAGCTTGACCGTCACCTTGGCAGCGACGTCCCAATGATCACATCAGGTATGTCGCTAACTGGTAAAATCTTTGATCCGATTGCAGTGAGCGGCCCGTGGGCTCGCATTCGGCTCAAGCATCGCCTGCACGTTGACGGCAGCACGATTGCACCTCGTGATCGGAACGCCAAACCTGCCGAATGTTGAAAGCCTTACTTCACGTGTGTGGGGCAAAACAAGACACACGCCTAACAACACTTGGCGGCGCGCAGAGGGGGGTAATTAGGGAGAGGGTACATGCTTCTCAGAAGGGGGCTGCTTCTTAATGCCTCCGGCCCTAGATCTACAGACAAGGCCCGCGCTTGCAAAGAAGCAGGGGTGCTTCTAGGAGGCCTTCCCCTCTCCCCCTGCCCCCCTGTCTGCCCGTGGCCTGACAACAAGAAGACTCTTTGGAGCAGCAATGCCTACTCCACGCGTGCCGAGATCGATGTCGCCGTCGAGGCCGCGCGTGCGCGCGTGCAGAGACTGGAGGGGTCCACGCGAGCGTCGGTCACTGCTCACCCTCGCACAACTGTCGCCGCTCCTGCAAAAAAAACGGGCGTTACAGAAAGCCCGAGTGCTGGACTGATGTAAGGCTCCTCCTGGAACGCTTGCCGCTGCCTTTGGTGCCAAATGTGCGTACCATAAGTGCATGTGCATGTGTGTAGGATGTCGGGGTGTCCTTCATTTGAATCCTCATGTGTGTCTTAAGTCCCACTGGCGCGCAACAGCGCATGAAGCATTTCGCCCCCCACAATCCTGACAGCGGCAGGACAGCAAACAGCGAACAGACTAGAGCCAAAATCGCACCCTCGTTCAAGATCATTCACAAGGCTATTCATCTCAAGGGTCTATTGCAACCTTCCCACCTTTGCTACCCTGACACCGAGCCCGGCCGCATTCGGAAACCTTGCCCGCAAGGGTCAGATTCTACCGTAGCTGTCTTGAATACGCCCCGCTGCTTGTGTTGACACTGCAACTTTTCCGACACCACCCCCGCTGCTACCGCGACCTGACGCCCAGCGGGCACTCGCACTGGCCACTCACTTGGCAGTTACCACTTGGAACTGCACGACCACTAAGGCGACCCCAGCAGGGCCGACTGGCAGTGGCACTGGGGCCAGCTCAGGAGAAGACCAGGCCCTGACGCTGACCGCACAGCGCAGCACACAGGCTCTCGCGACACTGCACCCCACCTTTACCAGAGCTTGACGTTCGCCGGTGCGGAGATGGACCACCAACGTTTTTTTCCCCACTTGTTCCGCACCTGCACCTCATGAGCTGCTCCGTGTCGCTGCAGTGAAACAGTCCCAGACAGACGAGACAAACGAAGAGCTTGGCGCAGCCGTAAGGGAAAAAAGGGGTTATCAGACTGGTAGTGGTTGATGCTGGCTCTAGTTGATTTCCTCCTCACGACAGGTGCCACTCTCACGACCTGGATCTATTCCAACGACCCACCAAATTCTCCTACATCAATGCGGAATCGCTGAACAACGAAACCTTGGAAAGCTAATCAGAAAATTGTCTCGGAGAGGTCGTGCAAACGAGGCCACTAAAGGTCCTCCTAAGATCAAAGGCACAAGTCACGTCGGAAGATGCTGGCAGGTGTGAAGACATGCAGACATGGACAAATAGCCAGCAGCGGGGATAAGCATACACACACGCACACACAGCATACCCTTTCCCCAACTTCCCCGTTCCCCCCTTGACACCCTGCCCTCACTATTACCGTCTCTGCCTTCCAGTCTCCCCCCGACTCTCCCCCTGCCTCCGTTCCTCTCCTTCTCCCTCCCGACCCCAGCCCTTGCATGGCGATGGGGGGGCAGACTCTTGACAGACGGTGAACGGCACACGACGACGCTATCTTAGAAGATGAAAACGACTTTTGCCGCTCCGCGAGGTGTCCTTGGATCTGCGCTGGACACCCTGCCTGGCGCACGGAACGCGGCAAGGGCGGCGCTGGAGGCGCCGCCAGGGGGGGGAGGGTCCCGGCGCGGGTCCAAGAAATCCGCTCGGAGCGCCAGAAGTTCATGTTGGTGGCGTTTTCTCTTCTTCTTCTTCTTCTTCTTCTTCGATGCCTGCCGACTGGGACTCTGGTGCCAAAGCGGGTGGGGGCCTTCGTTGTTAGGGGAACAACATGTGACATAAGCATAAAAACTCGGAGGTCCGCGCGGATTTCTCGGATCGGCGCTGGGGCCTCCCGGCGGCGCCTCCGGCGCCGCCCCTGGCGCGCTCCGCGCGCCAGGGAGGGGGGTCCAGCGCCGATCCGAGAAGTCCGCGCGGACCTCCGAGGTTTTATGCTTGTGCCACTTTTTGTTCCCCTAACATCGAAGGCCCCCACCCGCTTTGGCACCAGAGTCCCAGTCGGCAGGCATCGAAGAAGAAGAAGAGAAAACGCCACCAACATGAACTTCTGGCGCTCCGAGCGGATTTCTTGGACCCGCGCCGAGACCCTCCCCCCCCGAGCGCGCAGGCATGGCAGGGGCGCTCCTGCCGCCCCCCGGCGACGGGCGGCTCCGACGGCCGACCACCGCGCGCGGGAGTGCACCGCGCGCACGTCTCGGCCCACGCGCACCGACCGCCTTGGGCATCGTTTATCCGAACCCTATCCCCATCTAGGTGGCCTTTTCTCCACTTGGGGATTTACCCCCCGAGATGGGGATATAGGCAGTCTCCCTCGGGTTTTGGAGGGTATATCCCCAAGTCGGGGGCGGCGGGAGGGTGTGGGCTGGTGGGAGGCTTCATGGGGTTGGGGTTAGGTTAACCGATACTGACGCCTGTCCCAGGGTGGGGCGGAAGGGGGGGGGGATAGCAAAGGGGGGGTTGGCGAATCAGCTCACGCATTCCAGGTCCCTTATGAGTCGACCCCCCCCAACAGAAACCAGACCCCCTTTCACGTGCGACCGAACATCTTCCGGCCCCCCCCCCTTCCACGGGGCGCCTTCCTAAACCGGAACCCCCAAAAGCCAATCCAAAAAGCAAGCGCCCTAGCAAACCGACCCCCCCCAGATTCAAAAAAGGCGCCCTAAATAAGGGTGAAGGGGCCCTGGGACACACAAATAAATACACACAAATAACAGGATCCCCCATTTGTTCACATATGTTCCAGGTGTTTGTCTTCCCCCCCGCTTCCCATATTTTCCCATATTTTCCCGGGAATCGACGATTAATTGTGTCTGTGTGTTTTTGCTCCTCCTGAGAGGGATTTGGAGCAGCTGCTTTCCCTGGCGCCTCCCGGCGCCGGAGGTGCCCACGCAGCGAGGAATGGGCGCGGCGGCGGGGCCGAAACCAGCTGCGTGCCGCTGATTTCGCACACGCCCTTCCCCTATGTCCCCTTTTGCTCGGCCCGACGGTCGTGACGTCAACGCACGCCGCCAGTTTACGAGTCTCGTCGAGCGCTATACCAGCAGCTCGCGAGGGCATCCACGGCGCCGAAACACAGAAATCATTCTTCCAACGGCGGGCGATCTTGTGCTCTTCCTCAACCGACGAGGCCTGGCGCCAGCGTGCCTCATTTGCACGCAGGAGGGGCGTTGACCATAGCTTTCTAAACCATGCCCCTCCACGTAGTGTCCGCTCGCTGGCACCAGCCTCCCGCCAGGGACTCACTGTTCGTCCTGACACCGCCCAATCTGCTTCCGACGAATCCAAGATTACCGAGATAACGTCCAAAACGGCCCAAATTCACCAAAGAAGCCGTGAAGACGGGCCAAGATGACCGGAAGAGGCGCCAAAGAGACCCCAAGAGGCGCCCGACAGGCCAGGATCATCGGAAAACCAAAGATCATATGTCGATGATTTCCCTCTGGTTGTTCTTCGCTCCATGAGGCCGCAATACACTTAACCTCCAAGGCGTCGCCTAAAGACCCTAGACCGAAGCGGCTCCACGACGTCGTGAGCAGCATCCAAGAGAACCTCAATATCGCCGGAGGACAATTCCAAGACCCAAGACTGACCCAATAGCCCCCCTGAGTCCCGCCAGACGGCCCCAGGCCTCCAAAACTGCTCGAAGATACCCCACCCAGTCTGTCGCAGAACCCTCCAAGATGGCCTGAGACCCTTCACAGACCTCGCGAAAGACCAGCACAAACTCCCAAGAAACCGTCCAGCACAATGTTCCGAGATGCCGAATGCCCCTCCGCAGAGCAGCGGAAGCGGGCTGCTACAGGTTGCGGTCATCTGGAACCTCGCCCCCACCTTGCATCTGCCCGGGCCGTGCAGACCCCAACCTATCCCATGCCGCGGCCCCCACGAGCCTGCAGAGACCGTGCCTCGAGAACAGTTATGGGCCGTGAAGACACCAACCTATCCCATGCCGCGGCCCCCTCGAGCCTGCAGAGACCGTGCCTCGAGAACGGTTATGGGCCGTGCAGACCCCAACCTATCCCTTGCCGCGGCCCCCTCGAGCCTGCAGAGACCGTGCCTCGAGAACGGTTATGGGCCGTGCAGACCCCAACCTATCCCATGCCGCGGCCCCCTCGAGCCTGCAGAGACCGTGCCTCGAGAACAGTTATGGGCCGTGCAGACCCCAACCTATCCCATGCCGCGGCCCCCTCGAGCATGCAGAGACCGTGCCTCGAGAACAATTATGGGCCATGCAGACCCCAACCTACCCCATGCCGCGGCCCCCTCGAGCCTGCAGAGACCTTGCTTCGAGAACGGTTATGGGCCGTGAAGACCCCAACCTATCCCTTGCCGCGGCCCCCTCGAGCCTGCAGAGACCGTGCCTCGAGAACGGTTATGGGCCGTGCAGACCCCAACCTATCCCATGCCGCGGCCCCCTCGAGCCTGCAGAGACCGTGCCTCGAGAACAGTTATGGGCCCCCAACCTACCCCATGCCGCGGCCCCCTCGAGCCTGCAGAGACCGTGCCTCGAGTTATGGGCCATGCAGACCCCAACCTATCCCATGCCGCGGCCCCCTCGAGCCTGCAGAGACCGTGCCTCGAGAACAGTTATGGGCCGTGAAGACACCAACCTATCCCATGCCGCGGCCCCCTCGAGCCTGCAGAGACGGTGCCTCGAGAACAATTATGGGCCATGCAGACCCCAACCTACCCCATGCCGCGGCCCCCTCGAGCCTGCAGAGACCGTGCTTCGAGAACGGTTATGGGCCGTGCAGACCCCAACCTATCCCATGCCGCGGCCCCCTCGAGCCTGCAGAGACCGTGCCTCGAGAACGGTTATGGGCCGTGCAGACCCCAACCTATCCCATGCCGCGGCCCCCTCGAGCCTGCAGAGACCGTGTACCCTGGATTACAAGTGCGTGGTCTGTGCTCCCAAAGGCCAGAGAGCCGCCAGGACGCCGCCACATACAGGGTTGACGCTGTCTTCTCACAGGAGGTTCAGCGCAGAGCGCCTCGTAAACCAGGGTAGGGGCGTTGTTTTACGCCCTTGAGATTCGCGATCCATGGATTTGGCGCGCGGTCGCCAAATCCATGGATCGGGGGGGAGGTGCACTCCCCAAGATGCGGCCAGTGCCGCCTCGTTCGGGGGCGGGAATCAGCGATTTCCCGTGGAAACGGGACCCGTCGCCAAACCCACGCCCCCTTGATCCATGTTTGCGACCGCCTGAGGAGGAGGAGGCGGGCGCTCGACAGAGCGCGACGGAGGGCTGGCGGCACGCAGAATGGGGGCTCAGGCGGAGGGGCGAAAGCTTTAAAACAGGGCTAGGATCAGGATAAGTCGCTCCAGAGCGTTCCGGAGTGCTCTCAGAGCCTTCCGGAACGCTCTGGAGCGGCCGCGGCGCCCAATACATCCTCCACACCCGCCGATTCGCAGAGATTTCGAGTTATCCCGATCCGATTTTGTCCCGATCTTCGCGTCGGTTTAAGCTTCCCAGAGGGAGGGCTGCCTCTTCGAGAGCGCTGGCCCTTGGATGGGACCCGTGCCTTCCGAGAGGCGGCCCTCCTTGCAGGAAGCCGCGGGAGAGGCGGGCGCCCGACAGAGCCAGCCAGAGCGCGAGAGGGGAGGGCCCGGAGGAGAGCGCGCGGGCTCCGCGAGGGTGGCGCTGAGGTTCGACTGGGGGTTTCGCCGCTCGTAGTTGCGGCACAGGCCCATCTGGTACAGCGCGGTCACGACGTGCCCCTGCGGCAGCGGGCGCTGGCGGCACGCACCACAGGGTTCGAGTAAGTTGCCCCCAAAAATGCTTTTCTCGTCGAGAGAACTTGTGTAGAACATGGAACTTTGGTCGACGAAAAAGCTTACGTAGCACCTCGCTTGAGTTTCTCATGCAACTTGCGTCAGGAACTTTGGTAGATGTGCGGGAATTCGACGTGCTCGTCTATAGATTCGACATCAAGATTAATCATGGGGCAAATCAAATTCTGCAATCGATCCCCTACTCGAAGGGTGGGTGGGTGGGGCGATGGGGGCGGCCTGCTGCATCCGGGGTCGCTCACCCTCGCGCCTGCGCGCCCCGCGCTGCCCGACGCGCGATGAAGCTCGCGCCCACCCGCCCTCGCGCCGCCCCCCTGGAGGAGGGCAGCCGCTCCGGCCCTGACAGCGACGCGAGAGGCGCGACCATCTTCCAGAAGCCTCCCGGATGGGGTCTGAGCAGATAGGGGGCGGAGGATCGCTCCGCTTCGCCGGTACATCAGCGACGTCGGCGATGCATCGGCGACGTCGACGCGACGCAACTCGGGCTCCACATCGAGCCCCATCGCCGATGCATCGGCGATGCGGGGCGATCCTCCGACCCCGCCCACTTTCTGGAAGATGGTCGCGCCTCTCGCGTCGCTGTCCAGGCCAGGCCAGAGCGGCTGCCCTCCTCCAGGGGGGCGGCGCGAGGGCGGGAGGGCGCGGGGATCATCGCGCGTCGGGCAGCGCGGGGCGCGCAGGCGCGAAGGTGAGCGACCCCGTCTGGGAGGCCTGGATCTTCGCGCCCCCGCGGGTGACCTCGGCCGCGCACGCGGAGGGCTCGGCGGGGCGACCGCGCGGGGGGTGCGGCCTCCCGAGGAGGGCGTGGTGCTCCCTGCGAGGCCGCCCCGCTCGCCCCCGGCGGCGCGCGCAGGATGACGAGGAGGAGGAGGAGGAGGAGGAGGAGGACGAGGAGGAGGAGGAGGAGGAGGGGGAGGAGGAGGAGGAGGAGGAGGAGGAGGAGGAGGAGGAGGAGGAGGAGGAGGGGGGAGGGGGAGGAGGAGGAGGAGGGGGAGGAGGAGGAGGAGGAGGAGGAGGAGGAGGAGGAGGAGGAGGAGGAGGAGGAGGAGGAGGGGCAGAAGAAGCAGAGGAGAGCTGCACCCTGTCCGGGTGGCCCTGGCCCACACGGCGGCCTCGTCGAGCCCGACGCCACGCTCACCGGCTCAGGGGCCCCAGTGAAGCGGGGCTGGCCAGTAAGCCCAGCAGGAGGGAGGACGGGAAGGGAAACGAAGAGCAAGCGGAGGAGAAAGAGGAGGAAGGGCGACTCCCGCGCGCCGTCCCGTGACTGCACTGAAGGGGCTGCCTGTGCGCGACTGTCATCCACTCGTCCCCTTCGTCCTCACCCTCAGCACGGACGAGAGGGGATGGTAGGATCAAGGAGGATGGGAAGAAAGAGAGAGAGAGAGGGAAATCAAGGGAGGCGGTAATGATATGAACGAGGTGGACGAAGTGGAGGAGGCAGGAGAGGCGGACGAGGGAGGAGAAGAAGAGGATGAGGAAAGAGAGGGCGACTAGAGATATGTAGCTTAGAACACTGACGTCGATAATGTTGGTGAGCAAGGGGAGGGGAACCAGGGTGAGGGCAATGATGAGGGTAGGTGTGGGGTGGGGTGGTGGCGAGAATAAATATCGGTCTGCGTGTTGCGCTAATACGCCAGCACTGTGGGACCTCGACCCAGTGCGACGGGGCTTAACATTGCAAATTAATGCCATGATGGCTTTAGGGCCCCCCCTGAATCCTATCAAAAACGGGCGAAGGCAGGCAATGAACTGAACCCTCATGCCGATGATATTGAAACACCCGCACACGTTGATCATGTACGTGCTTGTCAGTACCGCGTTCAACTGCGATCGTGAAATTGCTTGCGTCTTCGCTTCAGCCTGGTGGTCGAACACTCGGCACTGAGCCATACATAAACAGAAGGGTAAACCATTGACCACAAGTATGTTATCTACATGGAAAAGAACGTAACCTCTAAAAGTCTTTAGACTCTCCCCCGCAGTAATGCAAACGAATTCACTTTTCGAAGCCCTTGTTGACGGACGGGAGGCCCACCAATAGTGGAACATGAATATTTTCCCGCGGCGCCCGCCGCGCAACAACGACGACGACGACGAGATGATCAATGAGATTGTGAGCAACGCCTTCGGCGAAGAATGTCGATCTATATTTCAATCCTCTCAAAAAACGTGCTCAACATGTCTCTGTCGTGCAGCCTGGACCAGGCAGCATTTTCCCCTGATGGAACGAGCCCCCTACACATGTTTCAGCCCGCCCACGCATAGAGGGAACAGAATCTCCGCCGCGACGACGACGACGAATACGACTAAGATTACGACTATGAATATACAATCGCGAGAACGATTGAGACTAATACAATCACGAGGACAATCGATATCACAACCAAGACAACAATCACGACCACAACCACAACCACTGATTCTCACCGCCATCCCACATACTGGATTTTTCCATGGGAGAAAGAAGCCCCAAGCATTATCCAGCCCGCCCAACAATAGAGGGAGCATAGTCTCCACCGCGGCGACGACGAGGATGAGGGCGAGGAGGAGGAGGAGGAGGAAGAGGAGGAGCAGGAGGAGAGCCATCGCTCAGGCACGTGCTTGTCTGCGAGGCTTTCACAGAGCTTCTGCGATGAAATCCCCCTGCAGCCTCAACATGTTGGCTCGCACTGGTTGTTCTTGCTCGTCTCGCCTGTGCGCGAGATCTCATCATGAAAGAGAAGCTCTCGCGAACATCACGGTCGGGTGCGCCGCCGACGAAGGGGGAACTACAGCAAACATTAGGATATACCAGTCCCATGGCAGTACATCAATGATCAGTTGTTCTCTACTCCTGATTGCCCTGGATGGCGTCACCCAGACCACCCACATGGCAGTCACTGTGATACAGGTCATTTGCTTTTGGATGGTTGCAGCGAAATTTGCCTCGGGCTCGATTCCCCATCGGTGACGACAACTCCTTGTAGTGTGCATCTTGTGCGCCATGGTCGGGGCCCAGGCGCAGGATCTGGACATGGTCGAAATGGAGCTCCAGAACCCGAGCGGCAACATCGACCTCCTCGGCTCCGTCCTGTACCTCAGCATTCGGGATCCGAGACCAAGAAATCTAAGAAAGACCTGGCACCGGAGGAGGGCACGGACAATCGTTCCGCGGGCCTCGACTTGCTTCAATCTGGCGTGCCGGTTGGCACGACCAGCAAAGGCACCGCGGGCGGCTACGCCGACTTCGTGATCCGAGGGTCCGGGGATGTTTTTTTTCGCCAGAGGAGAGCTTGACCAACAAGCCTGCGGGTCTCGCCTCTCTTCCAACTGGTTCTCTTCGTCGTGATGCGCCGGTGTTGGACCCCGCCGCCACGGCGCGTGAGGCTAGGTCGGGCATGTCCCCTCAGAAAATGCTCAACAAATGCCCCCCAATAGTCAAACAAACGTCCCCAGACTATTTGTTGACTAATTTTTGAATATTATTCCTGTAGACGGACAGGCCTGACTTAAGCGTAAGGTCGAGTCCCAGCATGACTTTCAGTCTCAGCCAGAGCCTGCATGTCTTGCACAACTTGTGACTGGTAATATACCTGGTGCAGAAAGCATTTTAACTGCTGGGAGCAGGGATACATCTTGGCAGAAACAAATGTTGTCGCTCCCAGTCTCCTCTGATATGCTCAGTGCTGCAGCTGAGCGGCTTCTTGCAGCGGCCGAGCGCTCCAGGGTCTTGGAGGCCGAGGCCATCGCCGCTCTCGCCGCTGCGCGGCTTTTTAATTACGCAGAGTTCGGAGTCAATCATCGCCGCGCCTTGTCTGGAACATTTCTCTGGCCGAGTGCAAGCTGCCCAGAAGCAGCTCGTGAAAGCCAAGATCAAGGTGCGCCAATGCCAATGGACTGATTCGTTGCGAGCAAGGAACCCGATTACCGTAAAGGTGATATCCTCGTCACGGCCTTGTTTGCGGCGCTGGATACAAAAGGCGTGGCTTGGCATGCCGTGCGACGAGAGATGCAGGCCAGACGCGCCTCACCGCTGCTGGACTCGGTTCGATTTCCTCGTCTTGGTCCGGGCCTCGGCTCTTGCGGCCCCTGCGGCGTGTCTTGCACGGCTGTTGCCCGAGCCCCCCTCCTGCGGTGCGAGCCCACATCTCCCTTTCTTTTTCCTTCCTCCCTTGCGTCCCCCTCTTGGGGGGAGGTGCGTGGGCTTCGGGCTTGTGCTTTTCTGGTGGCTCCGGGGTTTGGGGGGACTCCGCGTCGCCGCTGTCTCCATCCCGCTTTTTCTCGCCTCATTCCCGAGCACGCGCTTCGACCTTCCTCACGCTCGACCGACCGACAGACCGAGCAGGAGGAGGATGAGCAGGAGAAGGAGGAGGGGCGAGTTTGTGCCCCGCCGAAAGAAACATGGGGGGGGACACAAAACTAAAGACCTCTTGAGGTTGCACACCAGTGCCCACACAATGACGTTGCGACGGAACACGACCAAATAGCAATGGATATGCGTGAACTGGAACGGATTGACGGCTTGAACCGAATATCGGACATCTGGAGCTATAGACATCCTGCTGAAATAACCTATCAGGTGTGGGTCTCAACCCACCCGAGTGTGGTCTGAGGTGACTGCTGATCGCATCTGATTAGAAGTTATACACGCTGGCTTACACCATTCGCTATCTCGATATTACGTTTCGACCTGTGCAGCTCGAGCGAGACCTGAGAGCGTTGGAGGGCGCCAGCTTCCAAGAGCTTACGGCAGGCTGCTTGATGCTCTGGTTTGGGAAGTGCAGCGGACCTCTAGAGAGCAATTGCTCCAGCCTCGGATCACCAAATCGCCGCCGCCTCGAGATCAACCCCCAGACCCGTCCTGCAGGGCTGGACCTAAACGTTGTTGCTCGTTTGGTTTTCGTCTTGGTCTTCGTCTTGCTCTATCTGCCGTCCTGCACCCTCCTGCCAAAACTGAGATCAACACACAGCCGAAGTCCAGCAGCACAGCGTTCAGGTCCAGCCCTGTCCTCCTGGGCTTTGTCCTGCTCAAGTCTGCCGAGCCACGCCCCGCCTCGGCGACGAGCCCGCTGGCCCGAAGGAAATCCACCCCAAAGAAGGCAGTGCTAAACTTCACGTGGACGTGCAAGGAGTGATACGGTGGAGGGAAACAATTACTGAACACTCCCCCCCTCCCCCCCAAACTCAATGTTGGCACGCGCGGGGGAGACTGCGGTCGAAGTGCGTCTCACCAGACCCACCGCCAACTTTGAACATTGGGGGGAGGGGGAGGCGTTGACGGATGAATGTGGCATGTGTTCGCTAATTTGTTCCGAGGCCTGTATCCCAGGCACGGAAGTGTAAAACTTCACATGGACGTGCGGGGAATGATATCCCACTGCTCTGCACGCCAAGCGCGGATACGCACAACCGACATCGAGTCTGCAAAACGGGCAGCAAAAGCTGTTCCTCTTCGTCTCCATAATTCCAGATCCCCTCCGATCGCACTGGGCTAAGACTACTCTGAGTTCCCAGCCCGTGGCCTTCTGGAAGGTATGACCGTGCGTCTCGATAATCTCCCACAAGCGCGAGCTGCCCTGGGCATTGCGGAGCATTTCCTCCACCGTGTCCGGCTGCCTGGAGGGGGGGTTCAACGCTCGTCGGCGCATGTTTGCGTGTTGCGTTTCACTTGTTCTTCTCCCCCGCCACCCCTGGGAAATCGCAACAGAGATTGCTGTGTCGGCGTCTTTGCTGCTCCCCTGGCTGCCCATTGCCCTGGCCGCAGCCCCCGGAGCTGTCCTTGCCCCAGTCGCCGCCGAGGGCACCCTTGCCGCCCATGGCTCCCATGCCAGAGCACATGCCCTGCTGGCCTCCGTAGCCCATGGAGTGACCCATGCCTCGGGAGTCGCAACATGCCCGTCCCCGTGCCGACCTTCCCCGCCGTGGCCAGACGAGCCGGGCGGCAAGATCGTCTGGGGGACGCTGTGTTTCGGCTGCGGGCGAGGGGGGGAAGTGAGAAGGAGAAGCCTTCTCAGTCGCGGCGGGACTTCTCAGAAGTCTTCGCACCTTCTGGGAGACTTTCTGCGTCTTCGGGGAGGGCTCAGAAAACTTCTCAGAAGACCAGGGGGCTCCCGAGACTTCTGAGAAGGCTCGCCCCTTCTCACTTTCCCTTGGGCTCGCCGCCGAGTATTGGCGGACCTGGGGTTGGAAGATGCTTCTCCCCCCTGACCAACCTGTGACCCATCGGACTCTTACAGTGTCACTTACTCTTATTACTCCTACACGCACTCATTGCTGGGCGAGAGCGCTGGCTACATCTGGTTGGGTCCTTCCAGGGCCGTCTGAACTAGGCGAGCCAATCATTTCAGGACCGTCTGGCATCGTTTACGTTGCTGTCTTCGGTGCGTACGGTTGACACACAGGGTTGGCCCAGCGGGGCGATGCTTCTCAAAACTAATGAACTCGTCAGGCTAGCACAGATGGGCGTAGCCCCTCCCAGGCTGGCACAGATGGGCGTAGCCCCCCCTGAATGAATAGGCTGTCCAATTTGGTTACACCCTCGGGGTGCCCATGCCGCCCATGCCCATGCCTCCCCAGCCGCCCATGCCACTCATGTCGCCATGATCCTTGATGGAGGCCGGCCTCACGTTGCGCGCCTGCGGGCAGCCCGTCTTGTTCAGCTCGACCTCGAACACAACCTCCTGGGCGATGGTGAGCTTGGCCTCCTCCATCTGGAACCTGTGGATGAAGACGTCCCTGCCAAAGGCCCGCAGGGACTCCTGGCAGTCGATGAAGCCGAAGCCCTTCTGCTGGCTGTACGACCTGATGCGGCCCTGGTACGTGGGGCGCCAAAGGCGCGTGCCGGACATGCCGCCAGTGTGCGCGTCCTCTGTCTGGCTGGAGGGGGACCAGTGGAAAACGGGGGGTGGGAGGAGAAGGGCCAGGGACGAGGATGCGAGAGAGGGGTGTTGCCCCCGCTTGATCACTTCATTGTCGGCGCACCGTTGAGATACAGTAGGGGCCCGACCACAAGAAACTTTCCACAAGAACCCCAACCCTACGACCCCAGGACGTCCACCGGTTTTAGGTGTGGGAACGCCACGCTTTCCATAGCACAACCATCGAACCCCCAAAAACCCAGAGCACCCTAAAAGCAAGCAAGGTTAGAAGAAGAACAAACGCCATAAACATAATCTTTTGGCGCTGCGCGCGGATTGCTCGGATCAGGGCTGGAGCCCCCCTCCCCGGCGCACGGAGCGTGCCAGGGGGCGGCGCCGGAGGCGCCGCCATGGGGGGGGCCCAGCGCGGATCCAGGAAACCCGCGCAGAGCGCCGAAAGGTTGCGTCTTGTGGCGCTTGTCGACCTCCATCGCCAGGCCATCGACACCCAAGAACCCCGTAGGGCACCCTGCAAAACCATCGAAGCCCAAGGAACCAAGGGCACCCTGGAGGCAGGCCACGTCTGTCTTGGCAGGAGCCTCCTCTGTGCTGCGCGGGTCGGCGATCTTCTGACCCGGGTCGATCCAGACCCGGGTCAGCAGGAAACCAAACACTGCCATGCAGGAACCAACAACCTGCAACGCAGGCCTTCGCAAGCCCGGGTCGGCCCATCGGCGCGGCCGCCTCGCGGCCACGAGCGGCTCGCTAACCCGGGTCAGCCAGAGTCGGCGGTGGACAAACCTCCCTTCAATAGACCTCCCCTTGGTGAAAACGGCCTGGGACCGAAACCCGCCAACATGACGGCCGCGACGCCATCCGCGAACCGAAAACGGCCCATTCCTTAATCGACGTGTCAGGGTAGGAGGTCTATCCACCTCCGACAGAGGGGGTCTTCGCAGGATCCTGCAGGATCCGGCGCTCTGGGTGACCCCCGTCTGCACTGACCCCCGCCGCAGAGCCCGGCCGGGCGCCCCGCGCCGCGGAGGGGCGGGGCGGGAGCCGCAGCGGGGCCGGGCCGCGGCGGAGCCGCCGCGGGACCTCCGACGGCTGGCCTGCTGGGCCTGGTGTCCACCACCGCCACCAGATGTTGGAGGGGGGGAGGGGCTCCTCCTCCGCCTCTTCCTCCTCCTCCTCCTCCTCCTCCTCCTCCTCCTCCTCCTCCTCCTCCTCCTCCTCCTCCTCCTCCTCCTCCTCCCCCCCTCCACCTCCTCCACCCCTCCAATTTGTGGTGGTGGTGGTGGTGGTGGAAAAAAAGCCCATCATGGTTTCGTCGAGCCCCCCCGCTCACCCCCAAGAGGCCCCGCAAATCGGAGGAGGTGGGGTCGGAGCTGGTCAGAAACATCGCGACGCATCGCCGATGGGGTCGGAGGATCGGAGAGGGGGATCGGTCGAAGGAGATGGGGTCGGAGGAGTCGCGGCGCATCGCCGATGGGGTCCGAGCAGATGGGGTCGGAGGATCGCGACGCACCGCCGGTGCATCGGTGGTCGGCAGTGTCGGCGGTGCATCGGCGACGTCGGCGGGGAGAGCATCGTGATCCACATCGAACCGTATCGGCAATGCATCGGCGATGCGGCGCGATCCTCCGACCTCATCTACTCAGACCCCCATCTGGGAGGCCTGCAGAAAATTCGCGCGGCGTCGGCGCGCGCAATGGTTTTTGACACCGCGTCGATCGTTCAAACTTGAATTGATCGTGGCCCCGATCTTTCAAAATTGAATGAAAGCGGGCCCAGTGGCGTTACCGTGTCCATCGGTGCTTCGGCGTCGCACAATTCAACCTTGAACGCCTTCGCTGGCGTGGGTAGCGCGCCAACGCCGCATGAACCGACAATAGGAACTCGATCAGAAAATAAATGGCATAGAAGTAAACGGTAAAGGTGGAATGGCATAGAGATAAACTTTCAATAGTCCACGCGGATTTTTAGCATCTGCGCTGGACCCCCGTGGGGACCCGCTGGCGCCGCCCCTGGCACGCTCCGCGGGCCAAGCAGGGGGGCCCAACGCAGATCCAAGAAATCCGCGCGAACCGTCGACAATTTATGTTTATGCCGTTTCGTCTTCGAATACTGAAGCGAACGGGAAAAACCGTCGATGACTTGTCAAACCATGATGCCGGGAAGGTGTGAGCCAGATGGTGTAGAAGCGGTGCGATGGAGGTTTGTTACTGTTCCATCGATAACTTGTGAGAATAATTTTGAGGGCCTGTTCCACTTTGAGGATGGGTGCAAGATGCGCGGCGGCTCTGCTCTGTTATTCCTTTCATAGTTCAGACGCGCAGGCACCTGACAGTCAAGAACGCACCTCAGCAGACACAATGTGGAACATCGCACTGCCGATGAATGAGTAAGCCGAGTCTCTTATGCCAAAATGACACGCCATCAAGATGTAGCAGCAAACAGCGGGTGAGCTCGGTTCCACCGTGCCTGCCGAGAGCACAATTGCCTTTACCATACCAACATCGGCGACATGACGAGCCGCTCCGTAAGTCACAGCTCAAACTTGCACTCCTATAATACTGAAAGAAACCAGAGAGGAGTTATTGGAGCCCCGAAACGGTGCGGTGACAGACCGTGCGGTGACCTCGAAATCCCCCGACCTCACCGTACGGTCCGTCACCGCACGGTCTTGGGACCCCGGAGGCCCCCGTCGCCCGAGACATCCTCGGAGAACGACCCGAGTCCCAGAACCGTGCGGTGACCCCGAATCCCCACCGACTCACCGCACGGTGTGGTCACCACCCCGTTTGGGGGCCCCCGAAGTGTCCTACGTGGGCCACTCGACCAGGCGAGGCTCCTTGACACGTGCCCCACAGATCCACGGGGCGTGGCAAATCTCTGTGTGCCACGTGCGCGGCACAACATCTGCGACGCGGGGCCTCCCCGTCGACGGCCCGACGGTGGCCCCGGGGCCACTCCTCAGATCCCCGGCCCGCTCCTGGGGGCTGCCCCCCCCCCTCCCCCACTTTCGGGGATGGACAGACCCCCCTTTAGTAAAACGTGGTTTAGTGAAACGACCTGAGGCCCAAACCTGGCGGGCGCAAGCCTGGAACATAACGGCCACGGCGCCCCCTCGAGAACCGAAAACGGACAATTCGACTAATCGACGTGTCACTGTTGGGGGTTCTGTCCACCCCCGACCCTTTGTGGGGGCGTGCGGGGTGGACGGGTTGGCAGGGCCAGCGCTCAGGTGCGCGGCACTCGGGCGGCGCCAGAGCGCAGGGGCACAGGCCCGACGCCCAGGTCACGCTGCGCCTGCCGAGGATCTGATGGCATCCGGGCCTCGGGCCTCCGAGAACCCGAGCAGGGCATGGGCGGCGGGCTCTCCCCGCGCGCAGCCTGCCGTTGGAGGTGCTCCGCACCGGGCAGGCCTCCCCGGGGGAAGAGGGCACCGATCGCGCCCCGAGGCAGCGCCGCTGTCCTCGTAGCGGCTCGTGCCGCTCAGGGCCTCCCATATGCACCCCGGTCGCTCATATCAGGGCCCGACGTTGTCGCGTGTGTCCGCCTCATGCAAGGGCACTTTGGCGAAGCGCATGCCTGGCTTCCCCGTCTGAATCCACCCACATTCCTCCGTCCTCCCTCCTCCTCCCTCCTACTCCCTCCTCCTCCCCTCCCCGCATCTTGCACTCCTCCCTCCTACGCGAGGGCACTCCCAGGGGAAGCTCGTTGGGCCCAGAGTCCTCGTCGCCATCCAGCGCGGCGGCGTCGCCCTCAGCGCCTGCGTCGTCCACCTGTCTTCAGTCGGGCAATCCAACTCCTCCCCCCTCCTTTACAGGAGGAGTAGGGAGAGGATCGAGCTTCGAGCATCGAACATTTGAAGTGTTCGCACGTGCTTGACCCCTTCTGTGTATCCGAAGACGACGGGAGGATGGGGAGGAGGAGATGGATCGAGTGGGCGGGAGAGACAGGAGAGGAAGGACACTGAGAAAGTAAAGGGAGAATAATATTGAGTGGGAGGAAGATGTATATTAAGCAGGAGGGGGACGAGGTATGAGGAGTGAGATGAGGGGTATTATTTATTACGCACCCTGGGATTCGAGGAATAGGAAGCCCGCTTACTCCTCCTCCTCCTCCTCCTCCTCCTCCTCCTCCTCCTCCTCCATCTCCTCTCCCTGAACCCTCCTCCACCCCCTCATTCTCTCTCCGTCCATCATCCTCCTCCCACTCTCATCCTCCCTTCCTCCCGCTCCTCACTTCTGGCCCCTCTCCCTCCTCCTTCTGATCCCCGCTTCCTCAGCCTTCTCCGCCTCCTTTTTGTCCCTTCACTCTCTGAGCCTGTCTCTCGCTCTCTCGCTCTCCCTCCCTCATCTCCGCTCACCCGGTGCCCGTAGATGAGGAAGACGAGGACGAGGACGACGAGGGGGTGGGGGAACAAGTTGTGGTCGGAGCGAGAGTCAGCATTCTGGACTGCCCGTGCTCCTTTGAAAGGGGCCCAGGGACACACAAATAAATGGACACACATAACAGGATCCCCCTACATGTTCGCATCTGTTCTGTGTTTTTGTTGGCTTCCCCCCCACTTCCCACATGCTCCCGCATTTTCTGGAGAATCGACGATTAATTACTTGTGTCTTGTGTGTGTGTTTTTTCCCCACCCGATCCTTGTCGTCGCTCGGCACGAACGGCGCCGCCTCCGCCTGGCCGTGGGAGGCGCGAGCCCCGCCGGAGGAGAGCGAGACGGGGCGGGGGGGGGGGGGCAGGACCTCGCAGCGCCGCCGGGCGCGCCCCCGGCGCGCGGCACGGAGGCGGCACCATCGGAGCGAGCGCTCGGGAGCGAAGGGGCCCCAGGACACACAGATAAATACACACAAATCAAAATATTCTCCACATATGTCAATATGTTCTGGGTTTCTGTCTTCCCCCCCACTTCCCATATTGTCCCATATTTTCTGGGGGATCGAGGATTAATTGTGCTTGCGTGTTTCTTTTCCTCC